TCACCATGCACAAAACTTAAGTCCAAGTGGATCAAAGAACTCAACATAAATCCAGCCACACTGAACCTCTTAGAAGAGAAAGTGGGTTGTACTCTTGAATGAATTGGTACAGGAGACTGCTTCCTGAACATAATACTAGTAGCACAGACAGTGAGATCGACAATTAATAAATGGGACCTCCTGAAACTGAGAAGCTTCTGTAAGGCAAAGGATACAGTCAATAAGACAAAAAGGCAGCCCACAGACTGGGAAAAGACATTCACTAACCCCACATCTGACAGAGGGCTGATCTCCAAAATTTACAAAGAACTCAAGAAGCAAGTCTCCAAAACACCAAAGGATACAATTAAACAGTGGGCTACAGAACTAAATAGAAAATTCTCAATAGAGGAGTCTAAAATGGCTAAGAGACACTTGAAAAAGTGTTCAACATCCTTTGCCATCAGGGAAATGTAAATCCAAACAACTCTGGATATCATCTTTCTCCTGTCAGAATGGCTAAAATCAAAAACACCAATGACAGTTTATGCTGGAGAGGAGGTGGAGAAAGGGGAACACTTCTCCACTGCTGGTGGGAGTGCCAACTTTTACAGCCACTTTGGAAATCAGTATGGAGATTCCTCAGGAAAATGGGATTCAGCCTACCACAAGACCCAGCAATTCCACTCTTAGGCATATACACAATAGATGCACATTCATACAACAAGGACGTCTATTCTACTATGTTCATAGCAGCATTATTTGTAATAGCCAGATCCAGGAAGCAACCTAGATGCCCCTCAACTGAAGAGTGGATAGAGAAAATGTGGTACACTTATACAATGGAGTGCTACTCAGTGTAAAAAAAAATGGAATCTTGAAATTTGTAGGCAAATGGATGGCATTAGAAGAAACCATCCTGAGTGAGGTAACCCAGTCACAAAAAGACAAACACAGTATGTACTCACTTATACATGGATTTTAGACATGGATCATGAGAGTGCCAGCCTACAGTCCCACTGCCAAACCTTCATTCAGTGACTGATGGAAGCAGAGGCAGATACCCACAGCTAAACACTGAACTGAACTCCTAGAACCCAGTGACAGAGAGGGAGGAGTGATGAGCAAAGGGGTCAAGACCGTGCTGGTGAAACCCACAGAGACAGCTGACCTGACAAGGGGGGAGCTCTTGGACCCCAGACTGATGGCTGAGTAGCCAGCATTGGACTGATCCAGACCCCCTGAATGTGGTGTCAGTGAGGAGGCCTCAGTAATCTCTGGGGTCTTGGGTAGTAGATCAATATTTACCATGGTGTATGAATGAACTTTGGGAGCCGTTTCCACATAGAGGGATGTTCTCTCAGCCTGGACACATGGGGGAGGGCCTAGGCCCTGCCCTGGATGAAATGACAGACTCTGGAGATCCCCCATGGAGGGCCTCACCCTCCCTGGGGAATGGTATGGGGATGGGGTGGGGGCTGGGGGGGCTGGTGGAGAGGCAAGGGAGGAGGAGAGGCAGAGGGAGATGGGATTGACATGTGAAGCTAACTTGTTTCTAATTTAAATAAAATAGTTATATTTTAAACAAAGAAAATGGACTTTGCCATCTAGCAGTTTAAACTGAATTCCAGATGTGTCCTCCAAAGCTACCACTTTGTTAATTATTTGAGATACCACAAATAGCACCCTATGGAGAAAAGAAAACATAGGGGAAGGAATGACTGAACATCACTTCCCAAAGAGAAGCACACTGCATGAAAACTTCCACACCGGAAGAGAATGCAGCCATTCTTTTTAGTCCCAAATTCCATGTCTCAAAACAAACTCACAACTCTATCAGGAGCCAATTAGGAGAACCAGAAAATAAAGATAAAGCAAAATCAAAACATGTAGCCATTGAGATAGAGAGATGGTCCAGTGGTTAAGAACACTGGCTGCTCTTCTAGAGTATCTGGGTCCAATTCCCAGCACCCACATAATGACCAACAGCTGTCTGTAACTCTAGCTCCAGGGGGTCTGAAACCCTCTGTGAGCATCTGGCATAGATAAATGCAAGCAAAATATAAACAAAACAACAACAACCCATGACACCACTAAACTACCCCTGTGTATAAAGGGAATTGTGGAGGGTAGTGGTTAATTTACTGTGAATGACACACTCTAGCCGAAATGTGACATTCCATGTGTTATTTTTGGTTTATCAGATTTTTCACCTAGAAATTTGAATTCTAAATATGGTCATTTTTTTCAAATAATGTTCTGCTTTAAAATGAACATAAATAACCATATAGTAATAAAATACAATGAAATATAAATAATTTAAAAACAAAGATTGATAAAATGTTCTAAAACAGTTGCCTTGTAAATTAGAGCTGTCAGGGATAAGATCTTCCATACCCTCCCTGTATATCTGGTTTCTGACAAGTTTCTCCCAGCTTACTTAGAGGTGGTAAATAGGATATATTTATTTTAAAAAAGCAGCGTGTGTGTGTGTGCCTGTGTGTGTGTGCCTGTGTGTGTGTGTCCGTGTGTGTGCATGTGTGTGCCTGTGTGCCTGTGTATGTGTGTGTGCCTGTGTGTGTGTGCCTGTGTGTGTGTGCCTGTATGTGTGTGTGCCTGTGTGTGTGTATGTGTGTGCCTGTGTGTGTGTGCCTGTGTGCCTCTGTGTGTGTGCCTGTGTGCCTCTGTGTATGTGTGTGTGTGTGCCTCTGTGTGTGTATATGCGTGTGCCTGTGTGTGTGTGTATGTGTGTGCGCGTGTATGTGTGTGTGTGTGTGTTTCACCTGTGTGAATGGACAATACACATGGCTAGCCGTAAGTTCGTGAAGGTTGAAGCACAGCCTAGGGTTGTCACTCTCCACCTTGTTTTGAGATAGGATATCATTTTTGCTGCTGTGAAGTCCATGCTAGCTGGCCCTCCAGCTTCTGGGAATTCTCTTGCCTGTACCTCCCACCTTACCACAGGAGGACCACAATTACAAATGTGCATTATCACCATCCCGTGGTTTCAGGTGTCCAAACTTAGGACCCCACACTTGCCTTGCAAATGTGTCAGCCACTGAACCATTTCCCAGCCTAGTAATTAGAATGTCCAGAAATAAATTAAGAAGTGTTAGTTGCCTCTATTTTTAAAATACAGATCTGTGTGTTTACAATCATTTGCTCGAATTTGTATTTATACACTGGAAATCTTAGAAATGAGATGTGTAAGTTTTGTAATGCTACTGATGTACAAAAAAAAAGAATGTGATTTCTTCTGGGTCATAACTCTCTTTGGACCACTGATGCTCTTTAGCGTGTAGCACAGAGGCCCCACATGTCTTTCCTTCAGTAAAGAATTGTTACTTAACAAAATGAACTGGAGGAAGTAGGGCCCGGAGAAGAAAGGATCCACAAGCATGCCATCTAGTGGCAATTCAGTAAAAATACAGATCCATGATTCCCAGTGTGGAAAAAGTATTAAAGTCAACAAAACCCAAGATTGACAACACACATGCTCACAGTCAATCTTGTCACTAAAGTCTTCATTTCTTTGTGATGTACGTGCTATCCTGAGGTGACATAGCTGTGTAGGCCTTCATATGAAGACTTTCCTGCTACACACACACAAAAAAAGAAAAACTACTTTTTAAAGTAATGAAGATTCAGCCATACAGGAAGATTTTACATAGTCTAGCCACAAGGAAATGAAGGTTTGATGGGATGGATACATTTATCTTCCTTTGAGTAACACATAATGGAATCACATACCGTCATATCACAAGACATTGCAGACACATGGGCACTTTTCGTGAATTGATTCAAAATGATGAAATAGAATATAATTTTACTTTTTTTTAAAAAAAGGCCATGACCTTATATAATGACCTGTAAATAGGGTGCTAAACATTGACAAGACCTCTTCTCATATATAAATTATCAAATCCATACTTTATATCTTTAAATCTACCGTGCGTACTGGCTAAAGGAGATGGTTCTGCTTGAAAACTGAGCGGTGCAGCTGGCTCCCATGGAAAAGTGCAGTCGATATTGTGCGGCTCATTAATTATTCATACTCCACTCTATTTAAAACTGCACATCACATCAACTGCATCCCCTCTACCTCAATGGCTGTCAACAGGGACTTTCCATTAGCCCAGGAAACAAAATTCCTTCCCTTTCCCTTTCCTTCCCCTCTATTGAAAGAATCAAGTGTTCCCAAACACTGCATCTAACAGCAGTTCTAGCTTGGGAGAATTCACCAGAACCTACCTTACTCCGAGTACTTTATTTGTTGGTTTGTGGTTTATTGTTTCCATAGAATATCTCAGGTTTTGTTGTTTCTCTACTTTACAAAGATAAATATAAAAAGGCCACTGTTCAGAGAACTCGTGCTTAAATTAAAGTTTAAAATCTCCTCCCTGCAGCCTCTGCAGAGATTACAATGCCTCTGTCAGGGTTTGCTCTTGGGACCTCCTCTGGCAAAGACCAACAACTGTCACTGGTCTCTCCTCAAGAATCAGTAGGCATTTCAAAGCAGTGGGAATAAAGGATTTTAGGCATACACTGAACCCCTGCAATTTTCTTTTTATTCTAAAAAAATCATCAGACATAAGAAGGGAAAGAAGAAATTTCAGGATGCTTTCTTGTCTGTAGAAGTCCGTTTGACCTAGCCAGGGGCTCTTTTGACAAGCTGCCTGACCTCTAGGCCAAGTTCAGGTTGGCTGCAGAATGTGGTACCTTTCTGGCAGCAGTAGGTGTCACACAAAACTAGAGAAAAGAGTCAGGGGAGCCAGAAAAGACACTCACAGGGTAAAGGTACTTTTCTATAGCTATAAGGCTGCATTCATATATTTTATTTGGAATTATATTGAGTTAAAGACAGAAACCCTGTATCCATTGGTAAACACATTCATAGCTGCATATTCCTGAGTCTATTCTACAAGGCATTCAGGAAAAGAACTTCACGGAAGCTGCAAACACTAAGCGAAAAGTATGTGGCCGGAAAACAAGATGAGAGCAGGGCAGTAATCAGTACTCACCGTGGTGGTGGTGGTGACCTCCTCAGTCACAACCTTCAGGGTGTCAACCACAGAGATGTAGCCCAGCCGCTTAGCAATCGCCAGGGCTGTGTTACCATTCTGAAGAGAGAGAAAGAGGGAAAGAGTGAGAAATGCTAGGGAGGACTCCTTGTGAGCCAATGAGCTCACCCGGGGCTCGGCATGAGCCAGCACTTCCTTCCAAAACAAGGCACAGCTCGGGAAAATCACTAGTTTTTACCATTACATCTAAATCTGTCTTTGTAACTTCTTTAGACTATAGCCCAGGTCACCATGGTAACACAACAAGCTTGCATCTGCCTGCTCTTTTGAATAAGAAGCACTTGATGCTTTAACCCTGAGGTTGTCAAGCAGCTCCAAATGCTGCTCCGGCCTTCTAAAGCCACCTCTGGAACTCACTGAGGATGATGTCTGCCAAAACTACTAGGGAGAATCTGCTACACTTACTGCCTACCAAGGGTCAGGCCATCTGCTGCAGGTAAGATGTTACCATAGGGACCTAGTGACAGATTTAGCTTCTGCTCTGCAGGAGCTCCAGTACTGCAAGAACTACACAAGCCAGCAATTCCAGCCGCCTCCAGCCAGGCCACTGGGGACCCCGTTTGTTTAATTACACCGCTTAGTTTACATTTCAATGGCTCCACGTCCCAGCGAGGCAGTTCTAAGCCAGCACTCAGAAACTGGGCTCCCTTAAGAAGATAGGGAGGGAGGGGTGCTTATGTGCTCACATCTGAGAGCCAGCTGTAAGCAAAGCCCTTCCAGCAGCCCAAGTGGAGGGCCCCACTCCCTAGAGACCCAACTGACTTCCTTCCCGGCAAGCACTCCCCAGAAATCACAGACTTCTAGAAAGCTTTTTCCAGAAATCTGGGGCTTTCCACTGTCTGGGAGTTTGGTTAAGGAGGATGTATCACACTTGATCTCAGACAACAAACAGGACAGCAGGGAAGGACAGGGAAAGGCCACAGGCCTCCTTACCGCAGTGGTGGCATTTGGCTTGGCCCCGTGCTGGAGCAGGACATTAATGATGTGTGTGTGGCCCTGTTGGGCAGCTTGGTGCAGAGGTGTGTAGCCATTCTGTGGATCATGACAGCAGCGATTTGCGGAGGGAGGAGAAAATTAGGTTAGCCTTCAGTTTTAGTTCACTTGTCTTAGCTACAGCAAATCCATCAAGCACCTCATTGTTTATTTGGAGCACGATTTTCCCAGCAACCCATTTCTCAGCAACAAACACTCCCTCACACCTTATGGTGGTCTAAACAAGAAGAGACTGGATTATGAAACAATACGATAAACAGACTCAATTTATAACTGTTATTATATTTTAACCAATTGACATTTAAAGTGCTTAAACAGAGAGAAGATTAAAAATGGGAAAGAAAGATAGAGCTGTGATATATTTCCTTAGGAAAGATGAAGAGCAAATTGGTGTTTAACTGAAGGCAGCCAAGGGTCACGGGTCGCTACTAGTCATGGCCATCTTTAACAACCCTTGAAGTTAGCTTTAGAAGATCTATGACAATGAAAGAGAATTTAATCTCCTATTTAACTCAGGAGATGGCCTTGGTTCAAGAAGATTGCATGTATAAACTTTAGAATAGAAAACTTCATTAGAAGCCCAATGCCCTGCCCCAATAAAATATGTCTTTAAAAACTAGAATTTTGGCAGTGTGATGAAAACTATGATGGAGATGAATGCCCTTGACTTGCAAGAAATTGTGTTAGGATTAGTTTGAGGCCAGTCTTGTGCAGAACTGTACTAGGCAGGGGTGGCACTAATTAGCTGTTTATTCGTACTAACTCAAGACTTTTCCTGGAATCCTTGATATTGGAACGGGAGTCATTCCCCGGGCATTCATTTTGTGCCAGATACTGAACCTTAGAGTGTTGTCTCTTTTAATCTTCATCGTCACTCTGAAATGGCTCCCAGTGCTTTGTATCAAAAAGGTATTTTGTGATTAATACTTGACTAAATGAATAGTGAACAAATGATTCATAAATAATTATGTTTCTCCCCATTTCAGAAATGATGAAACTGAAAATAACAGGGTTAACCAATTTCTCCACAATCACTCTAGGTTTAGTTTCTATGCAGAAGATCATGGAAACCAGTGGCTACTTTACAATTGTCTGCAAAAAAAAAATTATCAGTATCAGAGCCTATTGAATCTAGCTGTAGCTTCTAGGTGGTGTATATGTATATACATCATGTTGAAAAGAATATGCACACATGTGTACATTTCATGCAGTGTCAGAGTGGCCAACATGCATATTTGGTTATTTTGATAAAAATATCTGATTATATTCACGAGTGTCAGAAGACACCCTTCTATACAGTCACAAAAGCCTTTCTGTGTTGGGGAATGCCATCACGTATGAATGTCTTTCTGTTCAGGTGTCCCTGACTCTGTCATGTTAGGATTCTGACCACTGCCATAGATTCCCTACAATAAAATAAGCCCAATTCCCTAAAAATGCAGTCCATTTGAAAAGACTCTTAGAACCCTGCAGTTATTATAAGACCCTGCTCTCAAATCAGGCAATCCATGGACATTTAAGAAGGAGAAAGTAAATGATAATTATTTTCCTAAAAATTCTTCCTTTCCATTTTATTTATAATATTAAGCCAAATGAATTTATCTTGCTTCTTCATTATCACTCAAACATTCACTAGTCATATGCCATGTGCTTAATACTTTAGTATATAAATAATATTCCATATACTAAACTAATATATGTTAATATAGATTAAAAGATAGATTACCTACATAAATCATACTAATTTAGTCATGGTTAATTAGCAGTCTGGCCCCACTATAGAATATATTGTATGGAATTCTCATTGACTGACTCCTATTGTCTAGAAAATCACCCGGGTATGATAACCTTTACCTGAACTTGTGATGAGTGCGAATAGTCGCCAGAAGATTGAGCGGGTCTATTACTTTACATTGACATTGGCTTGATGTTTCTGTGACTTACCAGTCTGCTGGTACACCAGCCTCACATCTACCCCTTCTACTATGGATGAGCAAGACTCCAAATCCTCATACTTCCATTTTTCTTATTGTATAACACAGGTGGCTGAAGGTGTGTGCTTCAAGAGGGACCAAATATGTTTTCCAAGAAGATGTGTGTAGTTCATGAGAATTACATGAAAATCTAGCAAGCTGTGTCATTTCCTCACAGACAATCTTTGTATCTATCAGTGTGTCTAATCAAAGAAATTTCTATTCTGTACTAGAGTTTAAACCCTTTTCACAAGTTGATTCCCTATAAGTCCAGTTTGTTTCAATCTAATACAACAGGGTTTCATTATAATTCTAAGCAAATAATGATTTCATTTTTTAAAGTTCACATTTCTTAATTTTTTATGTCAAGTTTCATAAGCAGTTAAGGCGTAGAGGCAGGACACATGTTTGCATTCTAAAAGCAGTTAAACAATTCTTTAGTAACCATGGTTACACATAAACATCAGGACACAAATATAATTCCTTCTGCAAAGGTATCGTTCCCTGCGGAAAAATTCTGAAGAACTTATTAACAGATTGCCTATTAAGACATGCATCTGCCCGCTGCGCTGAAATATATGGCCCCAAAGGTCACAGTAAAATTATATAGTTCTCCTAAAAGAAACCGCTGAAATGTTAAAATGAGATTCTGTTTTTCTCTTAACAAAATGTACAGATCTAATTTCACAGAGGCACAGACAACACAAAACAGTGATGGGCATCTAAGTGTTAGGACCTTCTCAGTGGGCAAACACTCACTGACACCACACAAACCTTGTCGTACTGCCGGTGTCTCTGCTTGGTGTGTTTGTACGTTTCAGTCGATCTGACTGTGTATGAGCTGGCTCAACAAAAACAGTGCTAGGAACTAAAGGCTGAGGAGGCATAGGGAAACTCTTCAATAAGCACCAGATGAAAGCTTCTCAGAACTGTGTAGGTCAGAAACTACACAACAGCCACCACAGGGCAAGCTTGGAAGTTTGCATCTTAAGTGCTATAGAACTATTTACAGATTACAAAATAAGTTTGTTTCAGATTAGTTAGTCTATGAACATGCTTTTGCACAAAAAGTGACATTGTTTCTGCTTCTCGGAAGACAGCAAAAGAAATGCTGATTTACAAAACATCTCGTATTTATTTCTAATCAGTGTCATCTTGAAATGATGGCTCTGAAACCCTTGAATGTGCTTGTGCTGATGCCCCTGAGCCATGGCAGGTCTTCCTGATGCATGAACTCAAATACACCGAGCCCACAATTCTCTGTAGCAGTGAAGAACAGCAGATATACCATGTTTTTCTCTTGAACTTGGACCAATATGTGTGCTCTGAGATGAGGTGTGATATTCTGACCTGCTTTGTCCAATAGGACCTTTGACCTGCATTGTGCAGAACTGATAGGGATGCACCATCTCTGAGTTATCCCTGAGAACCCACAACTTGGACATTTCACACTTTTGTCAATAAGCATTACCACACGAACTTCCCAAAGAGACAGCTTATTTAAAAAATGATATGTGCCGGGTGGTGGTGGCGCACGCCTTTAATCCCAGCACTTGGGAGGCAGAGGCAGGCAGATCTCTGTGAGTTCGAGGCCAGGCTGGACCGACAGCCTCCAAAATAATACAGAAAAACCCTGTCTCGTAAAACCAAAAAAAAAAAAAGTGATATGTGCAGTGTGGGCTGTGCAAGTCTGTTTTTCCACAGGAGGAGATGTGGAGCTAGGTGACAGGGTCAAGGACCTGAAACACTAGACGAAGTCTGTCTGGGCTTTGGATGAATTATGAAGATCAACTGTTTCCTGCAGCAAATTGCTAAGCCAAATCCATTTCAACTTTGTAACACATTCTGAAGCTGACTTCCATGGCTATCAAAGGTTATCAGAGAGGAAAGCCCTAAACAGTCAGAAAACTACACTGCTTCTTCAAAATTAGTTCAGAAGAACTAGAAAACAAAATTAAATTTAACCCAAAAGCAACTTGAAGCTACAGTAGTGTCCTGACTGTACCCTTGGCAGGATGAGTTTGATTGTCAAGAAGGAAAATGAGTACATATTTTTACCTTGGTTTTTGCATTGACATTTGCTCCCTGTTTCAGAAGAAAGTTGACCATTTTCACATTTCCATAGTGACAGGCCACGATTAAAGGAGTGTAACCAAGCTGTAATGACAAATACCAAAGTACAAGTATTATACTGCTAGTAGTTAATCAACAAAGGTAAGGTTTCAATTATTGCACATGGTATCTTTTGGGTGCAAATATAGGACAAGCAGTCCCTAAGGACACAGAACTTTACATCAGCAAGGAAGAAAAGACACACAGGTGACTTAACTTAGCTAAAAGAACTGAAAAGTGCAAAATGATAGGTATGTCAATGGAAGGGAGAAGATTCTAGTAGAAGAAGCAGGTGAAGATGAGCGAAAGGTGGGAGGAAGAATGGAAGGATGGGAAGATGAGCAATAAAGAGATGTCGTCTGGCCATGACATAACCATGACACTCATAAACTCACTGAGGCTGCTGTAGTTGAACAAAACTTGCATAATTGCAAAATTGACCCCATCAATATTTTATCTGAATGAGAGAGGGAGCCCATGAGGCCCCATCCCTCCCAGAGTGGTTGTTAGCAATTAACACTTGCTTGGGGAGCAGTGTCTCTGTCTTCAGTAGTGTAGCTATAGATAAACTGCCCTAACTCCATGACTTCCTACCTATGTTCAGGTAAGTAAGTCTAATTAAACCCATTTGCCCCTACACAAAAACAAGGCAGGCGAGCTGGAGGGGGCAGGGCATGTTAAGAAGGTGGGAGAGGGAAGGGATGAGCAGGGGAATGAAAAAGCAAAAAATTACTACAACTCATTATATAAGTAATAAGTGACACTAAAACAATAGCAAAAAGAATGGGTAAGAAAACAATAGCACAGAGAGAACCAATCCCCCTCAAGACCAAGGGCGTATAGCTGAACAAGGATAGAGCCAAAACAGCGAGGCAGATGTAGGAGTTAAAGCGGAAGTAAGAGGGTGGGCAGCAAACTGCAGAACTGGAATCTTAGGCTGAGTCCTGAAGCCACTTTCTCAACTTCAATCTGACTCTAGCAGACACAGGGAAACATGCGGTTTATACTTTAGAATGAACTTTTAAGAAGAGGGACCTCGGGCATGAGCTGACCTGAATGAGGCCAACCAAGAGTCAGCCAAACCAGAACTGGTGACAACACTGCCAAGAGATCTGCTGTACCTTTGTGGAGGCATCCTGGTCAGCCCCGTGTTTGGTGAGAATGTCAGCAACGTTCACTTTATCTTCTTGGGCTGCAAGGTGTAAGGATGTGAGCCCACTCTGTAGCAAGAATGGAAGCAAGGGAACACATCAGAGAGGGAAACACACTGTCTATAGGATCGTGTCTTGAAGGGTTGGAAAGCATATGGCCTCTCTCCAGACATCCCATCTTCTCAGGTTTTAGACAAATCCTCAAGATTAAACATGAGTTTTCAACCAAGACATATTCTCTGCAGAAAATTATGTTTTCTGTATCTGGTATTTATGATTTCAGTCTTTAAAACAGTTTTGCTAATAAGCTTCCAAATAATATTCATTTCAAGCCTACCTACACTTCCTCATGAGTCTACTTATTTACTTCAATTAATGGACTAAACAAATATTGCTGCAACTGTATAACCTTGGCAATAATCAATATTTTCATCAATAACGTATCATATTAATGTTTAAAATATATGGAGTTACTGGAAGTAAGCTCAGAATATTTTTTCTAGCACTCAATTTACTTTGGGGGGTAGGGGTTGTCTTCCAGATGGTAAATTTTATAAAGTAACCCTGTGGTTGAGTGGGGTTAGCTCACAGGCCCCAGGAGTGAATCTATTATTATTATTTTGCTGAATGGACACAATATCAAATATCTACCTATATTATAAATGTCACTTTCTGACCTCAGCAGAGAAGTTTCTTCATGAAATAGGGGTTAACATAGAAAGTCATAACTGATTAAAGTACAGAGATTAATTATCTGTGGATTGCTCAGCTGCAAGCAGGACATTGATATTATCCCCATCTCCAAGACTGGGGACCATCATGGAAGAAAGGACAAAAAGACAGTTAAGAGTCAGAGGCTGGACAGGAGCAGAGCAAAAAAATGTCCTCTGGAGATGACAGGTCTGTTGCCCTCGTGAACTCACAGCAGCTGTGGTTGGCAGCACAAGACCTACACAAGATGTAGCTAGCCAATATTCTAGCATGGAATGAGAAGAGGGCCTCTTGAGCCCCTAACTTGGTAGATATGGACAGTTTATAGCTTCTGGGGATAATTGAGTTGGTTTTCTTTTCTGTGTATGCCCACTGGTTGGTCAACTGCCACCAATGGATGGTGCCAAACCCACGAATCTCTGGGTAACATGAGTCATTTTTTAAGAAGACAAGAAATTAAGAGGGGTTGGAAGATGGAGAAATAATAGGGGAAGAATGATGGGTGAATATGACCAAAATAAATTGCATGACATTCTCAAAGAATGAATAAAATATTATATATAAAAAGATTTTAATCTGCTCAAGATGGCACTTAATGTTTAAAAATAAGTTTAAAAACAATTCTGATTGTTTTCAAATGATTGCGTTTTTAGGCAGACAGTAAATAGATGTATGCCCCCTCCTTTATAAACTAATATTAAACAATATATTTTGTATCTCAGTGTCAGGATTTCCCCACCTAGGCAAATGATTGCCTAAAAAGTGTGCTTTAAATGTGGGACAAGCCTTCTCTACTGTCTGGAGATATTAGTTTTCACTGTTACATTTTATGTTCATTCTTTTAAAATGCAAGCATGGAAAGACTATTCCAGCTCCACATTGTGGTTTAGACATATCTCCCAAAATTTCAAGGAAACACTGAATCTCCAAATGCTACTTGAAGTTGGGATCACTGGGTAGACTTAGAATGCTGGGAGCCCATGAGGGTGAAGCACCCATCTTTCATTTGTGACGCTCTCCACGGTATCCTTATGTACCCAGAAAACCCTCACCAGATGCCAAAATGTGCTCGCATCATCCTGTTGGACTTCTCAGCCTCTGGAATCATAAGTCAATTGAAACTCTTATTCTTTATAAAGTTCCCAATCTGAAGTAATTTGTCATAGCAAGAGACTAAAACATTGCACTGTAAGAAAGGATCTGGGAGGACTTTCAACACAAAGATGAAAATGCAATGGGACACTTCTGAGTGACAAAGACAGGGACCAGAGCTTTAGGTATGCTTGAGACAATCTACCTGATCACATTTCTTCTAAAGAGTGCATGTAATATACTCCAGCTAATGTTAGTAGGCAAATTGATATTCTAAACGTACAGGTTAATCTAATAGTCACACATTGGAAGCATAGTATTTTTGGAAAATCCTAAGAAGCTTAGCTTTTATCTTGACCAATTACATGGTACAAACAAAAAGCACCAAGAGATTCAAATGGTCAGTTAATATGAACAGACTATAAATTTTGGTTTCTGAGCGGTGGCTCCAGGTTGATAAATAAGTAAACCTGTAGTAGGCATATACTTTTATGTTTGAATGATCTTACCCTTATAGTCTTGACTATCATATTATAATTAACATGGTCATCTACAGAGGCTATTTACTAGGAGGGGAGCTTAAATTACTATGTAGCTTTCTCTAAAAGGGATTTCTAACTAGAGTCACTACCTAAGGCAGGCTGAAGGTGGCTTAAAAATCAGTAATCAGTAAGTCCTCCAACCACAATGCAGAGGTAACTCTGTTGCTTGCCTTGTGTAGTGGATCCTGACCTGCTAGCTCATATACACCTGTTGAAGCCCAGCCTCTGTTGGAACCACCCTCTTGTCTGTCTCTGTCCCTGGCTCCCAAGCCACTTTCTTACTGCAATTTGCAATTACAATCAGCAGAAACTAAGGCATTATGGCTGCTGAAGTACAGTGATCTTAACTCCTGGGGACTATGGGATAGCTTCTTGAGATGCCCACACCATGCTGAGAAGCTGAGAGTGCAGGGCAGCACAAAGAGGTAATGGAACTGACTTGAGAAGAAAAGTGAATACCCACAATGCACGGTTATGGAAAGCAAACCTGTGGGAGCAATTGCCATCCCTTAGTTTCTAGCTGAGTTTGCCTTCCTTCCGTCTTGAGGTTTTTGACACAGCCCTGCTTCCTTTGCATGCACACACAAACCATTTTTGTTCCAAATAATCTTTGGTTGGTTTCTGTTTAAATTTCTCCAGTAGACACGACTGATGTCAGAGTCTAGAAAACAATACCTTGGTTGACATGTGGATATTGGCTCCTTTTTCCAAAAGCAAGGTGACCATATCTGTGTGCCCCTCTTGTGAGGCCAGATGCAGTGGAGTGACCCCTTGCTTTGTCACAGTGTTAGTCTCAGCTCCATAGTTCAGTAGTGTGGAAGCTATTTGCATCTGATTCTTCTTGGCAGCAATGTGTAGAGGAGTATAACCATTCTACAACAGAAACAAAAATATGGATATGACACACATGCACACACATGCACAGGACACATCACACACATACACACACATACACATCACACACAGAGAGAACACTTGGTAAGTGATCAAATATTTATCTCCAATGGAAATAATAAGGTATACAGAAAAGATCAATGTAAGCTGAAAGTTAATTCAAACTCTTAGTTATGACATGTTTCCATCTAACCATACGCATCTTTGCAACCATTATACTCTAGAAAGGTACAGGCCTAAAAGCATCAAATAAGAAAGTCCCTTCATAATTAGCTTTTCTCCCAAACAAGAAAAGAAAGAACGGCAGACACCTCTTGATGTGATAGTCCTTGAGACCCTGGTGGTGGATTTCATCTCTGTCTAAAGATTTCTCTAGATCTTCTCTCTCCCAGGTTAAGGATCCGTTCCTTGAGTTATTCCTGACCCTTTGGTCATTTCTAGTCCTCTCTCCCCAAAAGACAACCTACTATGAGCTAACTATGATCTGTTCATAATGCTCCCAAATCATGCAATTTCACACCACAGAATCCTATAATCAGGTATTACTTTACCCACACAGAATCAAATTGAGTAACTTCTATGATATTGTTTTAACACTTGTACTCAAATGGTTCTAACCAGAGTATCCTTTCCACTCCTTGAGAAAATGCTATTGAAGTCCTAGAATAAGCCAGGCTCTGTGATGGGTAAAGGAACACTAAGGGAGATAAGATTTGTGTTGTTAGGAATCTACTACAACATTACTATTTTCAAATTATGATAAATATTTTAAAATATGATCTTAAAACATGTTTTTAAATGAGTTACTGAAATATGTGACATCTGTGTATATTTTCAACATAAGAACCTACTGGTAAACACTATAAATGAAGATGGCTGTTGATAAATAGCCAGACTTGGTAGGAGCCGTGTTTGAATATGGATAAGATACACACCAAAAAGTATTCGTAATCTAGAGACCCACTTAAAAGTATTCCCAATTCAGTTGACCCAGATGAACACTTCAAAGGCAAAGAGTCCTTGTAGGGGCAGAGTGAAATTTTTGATGTTAGCAGGAGTGAGGGTATGAAAGTTATGTTTTATAGGCAAGTAGGAGAAATGTAAAATGCCTGTGTCAAGTTCCATTTTTCAGTATCTAAAACCCTGCCTGCTAGGAATAAGATTAATCTCCACAAACTCATATGTACTCTCAGTTGGTAACTCCCAGCTCTAAAAATCACAAAATGGTTTTAGACAAAGCAATTGGTAGAAACCGTTTTTAAGTCACAAAAAAGTATTACTATTTCATGGAAGTTATCTAAAAGCAAGGACCATGTATACTCAGCTACATGGCACCTGGATTCCTAGGCTGTGGTCCTCACCTTGGCAGTGGCGTGAGGGGAAGCACCCTTCTCCAGCAGCAGCAGCGCCACCTTCTGGTTGTCATAATGAGCAGCAACATGGAGCGGGGTAAGGCCATTCTGTAAAGGTGGTTTTTAAACCTCAGCATTAATACATTATTAGCTAGCTAGTGTTAGCTGCTCTGAAACTACCAGGATGCACGGACTGGACAGTGCTATCAATTAATTACATGTTAATTAATTAATACGGTCAATGGAAAGAAGAAAAACAGATACATGATAATTTTCCTATCAGAAACAACTAAAATTGGAAATATTTGCCCTGAAAATTGGCAAAGGGCAGCTTTCTGATCACAACAAGCAAAAGTTAAATTTCTGTATACATCACAAGGATTCTTCTTGATACAGAGTAGCTGTGGGTCCTGCAAACAATGCTTCTAAATTGCAGTGTACAGCAACAGAAAGAGTCATATATGTGCATATTTGGCGTACTTTTGCCTGGAGCATTCATCTTCATTTCTGATGAGTGATAAATGCGAGTCAACAGCCGGGTGGTGACAACATACTACAGAAACCTCTTACCTTCCCTGCCGAGTCTGCGGCTGCGCGGCGCTGCAAGAGAAGCTTTGCCACATCCAAGCTTCCGTACTTGGCTGCCACATGCAGGGGAGTGAAACCCTTCTATAGTGTACAAAGAAATGCGACAATTAGGTTGCTGTTTTATTTTTTCTAAACTTCAGTTCCTTACAAAATGTTTGTTGATCCATTAAGCTAACACTATTGGTTCTCCGTTTGTGAAAACTGATAGCATGATATCTGTTAATCATGGACCACTAAAATGGTAAGGAATGAAATTAAACCGGAACTGGTAGGAGCTTTGCTAAGTTTGATGGACTGAACAACAACAAGAAATGTATTTGGAGTCTTGGAAACTGAAACTTGACATTAATAGATTTTAGTCACCAACATTTAGTGGTGTTGGTATACTGTTCTGATTTGTGAATGGAAAACCAAGTATCAAAAAGTTCATTTTTCATCTTGCCTCTAAAACTAACACAACCAAGTGAACAGCTGCCTTCAATTTCTTATAGTCCTTTTAATGGTATTTTTCATTTGAAAATTTTTTTTTAAGTTGTAGAGTATTTAGGAAGCTTGGGTTAAAACAACTATTGAGTCATTTGATACATTTTCTGCAAAACTGGCCAGATAGATGATCTACAGAATACTATAAATTCTACTAAAAATATCCTTTTAACACTCTGAAATTTGTCCCCATGCTGTCCAAAAGACCAATGTCTCTAGTCAAACCCATTACCATGGTGTGCCAGTGGCTGACTAATACTAGATAGTTAACCACACTGAAGATTCAACAACGTGCTTTTAGAAGATGCCTGTCTGAGTCTGGGCCAACAGCCAGGGAGTGTGCATGAGACCATCCTAAGCTGTCTGCATACTCATGACAGGTGTGTAGCTTGGTCTATTTGTGGGACTCCTAGCACTGTCCGTAACACATTGGGGAACCAATTTCTCATGCTGTATTACTTTGCCCAGCCTTAATAACTTGGTAAGTCATGCTTTGTTGATACCCATGAGAGGTCTTCCCCTTTCCAAACAGAAACAGAGGAGGAATGGATGGGGGGGCAGGGAGTACAAGGGAGGTGGGGTAGGGACTTGGAGGAGAGGAGAGAGGGGAAACTGCAGTTGAAATGTAAAATAAATGGATGTATTTAAGTAATAATAAAAAGATGCCTGCCCTATATTTTTTGTATGGACACACTCACTGTCCCATGAGCCTAACCAACAGCAGTAATTCAATGAGCAGCATGCTATAAATAGAGTCCCAGTCCTGAAACCTCCAGGTGGCACTATGATGTCAACCCGTCCTCCAGGAAAGATGCTTCAGCCACATGCTTTTCTGGAACAATAGTGGGAGTTGAAGAATTCTAACATTGACCAGGATCTAGAAAATCAACCAAGCAATTACTCCTGCATTGAGAACTCTTTAAGACCCTGTAATGGCCGTTCTTGTGTCAATGTGACACAGCTAGAGTCATCAGAGAGGAAGGAGCATCCATTGAAGAAACATCTTCATGAGATCCAGCTGTAAAGCATTTTCTCAATTAGTGATTGATATGGGAGGGCCCAGCCCATTGTGGGTGGTGCCATCCCTGGGCTGGTGGTCTTAGGGTCTATAAGAGAGCAGACTGAGCAAGCCAGTATAAGCAGCACTCCTTCACGGCTTTTGCATCAGCTCCTACCTCCAGGATCTTGCCCAGTTTGAGTTCTTGTCCTGACTTCCTTCAATGATGAACATCAATATGGAAGTGTAAACCAAAGACACGCTTGCCTCCCCAACTTGCTTTTTGATTATATGGAGGAAGAAAACCAAACTCCTTATCCTTACAATCTGGTTGAAGTTGTGCCCACCCCCTTTATACAGTTGGAAGCCCTTATTAGACAAAACTGCACAGTATTTTCACTGCAGAATGGCAGGGGTAGAGGCCATCCCTTGAGTCACAGGGCCACTTCTTGCAATGTGAATCTCATCAGAGCATAATCTCCCTCTGGTATTTATAAACACTTAAACAGTTTTAATGATCATGAGTCACCCAGTATCCAGCCGGCCTTGGTCACTAAACCATTCTGTTTAACAAGTGATTCTTTTTTTATTACCCTGTTGCACTATAGAATTGGTTATTTTTTTAATCCTAAAAATCCTTGAAAGGCAAGGGGCTATTTTCTATTCCTTTACTTTTACATATATTAGTTCTATTCCTCATCCATTAAAATGACTGCCAAGTTGCTTGGGTTACTATCATCATTGTACATTACTTCCTTGGTGTCTAAGTTCTGATATTTTTTCTTTTTGAAGAATTTTGAAAATTCATTCACCTTTTCAGATTTCTTCATTAGAAAATGTATCAATTTCTATGTCAGAACATTTTAAAAGATACATTATCACTTTATGTATAAGAGTGTGTGCCTGATGAGTGTGTACCACATGGTGCTTCGGAGGACAGTAGAAGGTGTCAAAATCCCTGGAACTGGAGCTACAGATGGCTGTACATTTCTTTGTGGTTGCCAGGTCCTCTGTAAGAACAGCAGGTGCTCTTAACTTCTGCGCTGTCTCTCCAGTCCCATGTCAGAACATCTTTGACAGCCGTGTTCCAATAGGCTTGTGCTGATGGTAACTCGTGGGTAGATCTCACTTCTGAGTGCTCAGAGGCCATACCACTACTTCAGTCCACACTTAATAACTTCTTTCCACCCAGGCATAGTATTTACTCCTGCTTACTGAAAGTCATCCGAAATGGCATTTTAATTCATCGAACTGTTATTGCACATGTGGAAAGTACATTGCCCTGGGACAAACTCATGCATTCTAGGACTCTATTTGCCTTGTTTTTCTGTTCTTCTGCACGAGCTCTGTCTAATTTGCTCTAGCTATTTGGGCACGTTCATGCTTCAGTGTAAATCCTCTCTATGTAGTGAATTTCTAGTAGAATGTTTCCACAAGAAGAAGCAGCCCCACACCACCATGGGACCTTGAATACAGGCTAGGATGTTACAGTGTTTGTTTGGTGTTATATAACTCATGAACTGATGTGCAAACCTGTTCTGTCTAGACACTGCAAATAACTGGGAGGAAAGAAAAGCTGGTGACATTTAGTGTAGAGATTTGAATAAGTCCCCTATTTGCTCAAGCATCTGAACACTTGGTCCCTGCTGGTGGCACTCTTTGTGGTAGCTATGGAATCTTTAGTAGGTACAGTCTTGCTGGAGGAAGTATGTCACTGGTGATGGTGTATGAATGCTGACAGCCTTGCCTTACTTGCTGTGCTTTCTCTGCTTCCTAGTGTGCTGGTAAAATGTGATCACCCAAGTCCCTTCTCTGGCCACCCATTGCCACACCATCCCTGCCATTATAAATATCTACCTTCTGGAACCATAAGCCAAAATAAACTCACTCTTATATAAGCTGCTTTTGGTTAAGGTATTTTATCTTAGCAACAAAAAAGGAACTGATACAGTTGGACACTCCAAAGGAAATGAGATTCCAAATGAGAAGTGATGGATCTAGCACTAGGCAAGGCGGGATGGAGCAAAGGGAGCTGTCACTCAACTCCGTTACCCAGCATTGCTAGTCTAATGCAGTATTTTCTACTTCATCAGTGATGCCAGTTCAACATATTAGAGAATCTCCCTCCCCACTATTTTATTCCTCTGAAGAATATATTTTATAGTAAAAAGGAAAGAAAGAGTGACCTTTGCTTTGTGGTAATACAATCATGACCATTACATTTCTGGATGCCTATACCAGAAGGAACTAGAACTTTATTTAGAAGATGGGATACAATATTCCTTGAAGATGTTACATAATCTAAACTACTTGAGAAGGAAACGAGTTAGAGGCCTGACAGAGATTTTTCCCTTCCTGGAAACTTTCTGCAGTTGAGCAAAACCTAAACATGGCACTTGCATTCTCTTAACCACCCCCCTTACCTTGGTAGCTAAGGAGTGTGCAGCTCCTGCTTCCAGGAGGACAGAGGCCACATCTACCTGTCCTTCCCGAGCAGAGATGTGCAGTGGTGTGTACCCATTTGTAGTGGCTGCATCCGGGTGAGCCATATGTTGTAGAAGCAGCTGGACAATTTCTGTTTTACCCAGTCGGGAGGCAATATGTAAAGGTGTCTGTTCCTCCTACAACTCAAGGCAAGAAATCAGTTAGGCCCCAGCAAACCCAAGCTTACCAGGAATATGTACTTCTCAAACATTCCATGATACCTTCTTTGAATCTCTAGGAATCTCTACTGAAAACAACAACAAAAAAACAGGTTACTACCCTGTCATGACTTTATTTGTATTTGTTATAGAAGTGATCTATTTGGTCATAAAATATCCCTTAAAATTTTTAAAAAGATTTTATGTATTCCTTTTTTTATATGTATGTATGTCAACATGTGTGATAGGGAACCATGCATGTGCAGTTCCTCTGGAAGTCAGAAGAGGCATCAGATCCCCTGGAATTATAGGCACTAGTGAGCCACTGTGTGGGTGTGAAAGTCAAGCCCAGTCTTCTGTAAGAACAGCAGCAGGTACTCTTAACTATTAAGCCCCTCCCTTGTATTTTTAACTAGAAAGTACATTCATAAACTTGGTCATTGTTTGATGAGCACCCAAAAAACATCTCTTAACTCCTTAAGTCTTCAATCCTTTCTTATGCTTACTTATTGGTAAACTCATGGTTTTGCAGGAGAAAGAAATCCAGACCAGAAATCCTAAGACCTAGATTCTTCTCCAAGAGCTTTTACGGAGAGGCAGGATTTATTCTGGGAAATGAATCAAGAGAAAAGACCCAAGGAAGCTGGAAAATGCTATTCCTACTTCACTCCTGAGCCAAGAACACAAATGCTGGTCATTTTGTTCTAGGAGAACTGGGAATAAAGACTACATTGTAGTATGATTTAAAGAGAGACTGTCCCAGGGAGCCCTGCAGATGGGCCTGTGATGCACATCTAGGACTTCAAGGATGAAATAGAACTCTGGCAAAATGAAAATGGAATGAACTCTCATCCAAGTGTTTTTTGCTTTAAAAACAGGGAGGATGGAAATAACTAGAAGGGGAAGGAAAAACAACATATTCAGCAAGGCTCATAAGATCACCTGACTCTCATGTGTGGTCACAAATAATGCTCTCAGAGTTAAAAGAGCTAGGAAAAACCACTGTCTCTTATAAAAATAAAATGGAGTGTGTCCTTAGGAATGCAAAGGGGTGTATCTTTATAAACTCCAGGGTAAGTCATCATAAAAGCAAGAAAGGAAAATCTGGAAAGCTGCCAGGGATAAGAATGAAAAGAGAAAAATATTAATAGATCTGTCCTAATAAGTACAATACTTTAACATTATATTTTTAAAAAGCTATAGGGAGAGATAAAATTGTATCACATGAATTTCAAAGAAGGGAGAGATTAATAAGCAATAGCAACACAATTATTTTACCAATAGAATTCAAGTTCTATAAAAATCTGCAAATTATAAATTTCTTCCATGCATGATGCATTTATGACTTGTCCTAGTAAACAACAAAAGAAAGAGTAAAATGTATTATTCGGCATTTTTTCCAGATAAAGTGAACAAGAACGTAATGAGATCCCAAAGACTGTTCAAGGTCATTAAGCCATTAAACCCGACACTAATGGCAGATGCAGTAAGATGGCCAAGAAGAAAATGATCAGGACCAGGTGGGCAGGAATGAGAACAAGAGTAAATGGTGAACAGAGTCATCAGCATCAAGTCAGGACCCTTCAAGTGCCTCACACTCTCTGCAGTTGGGTTCTCCCACGATGGAGGTGGGTAAAGTAAGCCACACACTGAATTGTCGACTACAATCTTTTTGAATTGTTGCTTTTATTTTATGTATACGGGGAAATTGTGAATTTTAGAGAGTAGGGGGACGTTGGGGGATGGTAGCCTTTGGAGCTCTTCTTAACTGACCATCTCTAACTGGTGGTAATTACTGGGTTAGGGATACTGGTGAATGAACCAGTAGTTACTGATTAAATGATATATTATAGTTCCCTAGTCCTCAGACCCCAGAGAGGTAGGGACTTATCTGTTCACTTGTTTGTTTGTTTGTCTGTTTAAATAAAAGTTAATAATGTCTTGGCTACTTTTAAAACATTTTGCTTTATTTCCATCTGAAAGTGGAAAAGAAAATAATATAATTTTGCTATATGAAAATCCTTGTGTTTACACAGGCATGTAAGATCTTTTCAGGTTTGAGCAATTATTTCTTTGTTGAAATGCAAAGTTGTATCTGCTACTCCAGGATAAGGTTAATAGAAATCAAGGCAAAGAATTGGGAAAGTGCAGAAGACTCATCAGAATGAACAAAGTCATGGATGAGTTCTGCTCCTGACCCTTTCCTACAAGGCTTTCTCAGGAAGCACAAGTGCCTGGGTCACAGCCCAGACAGGAAGCAGGTGGTCTCTGCTTCACCACAGAAGTCTACTGTTTACTTTGCTCCTAGGCAACCAAAATTAGGGAGACTTGCTGAACCCCAACTTTTACAAAAAGACAGACAGAACAGCCCCTGGGCCAAAGTTTAAAATGTGGATGTGATTCCTGCTACCAATGTTCTCCCAAACCATATTTGCTGGCAGCTAAGCAAAGTAAGTTAAGTTTCAAACCAGCTTAAGCCTAAGGATCCTACCATTGCTCAAACATAAAAGCAAAGAGCAGGCCCACAATGGCACCAACAGAACAAGTCACAGAGCAGGGCACCAGCATTACAGATCTAGGGGGTTGAATGTAGTTCTTGGTCACCTACCTCCAACTAGACCTACAAGCTTTAGCCTTGGCTAAAGACAGAGAAATGGATAAAGCCAGCTGCTAAAGCCACCGAACCAGTCAAAATAGCTAAATAACTAAAAGATAGGCAGTAAAAGAGGTCCAGATTGGGGAAAAACCCTCTAATTAGGTTACAGTGTGTTTTAAAATGTTCATAGCCTTAAGAAAGAAAATAGGAAGAGTATGGACAATTATAGAATAAAAAGTTTAAAATAAAATAAAAAAGAATAAGCCGTGTAGAGATGGGAAATACACAGGGAGCCTGGGTCCTGTGCAATATTGTGCTGATTTTGCATGTTTTGATTGCTGATGAGCAAATGACAGCTGCTAAGAGACATGGGATTGTGAAGAGGACTGAAAAATAGAACCAACTTAGATACGTTAGGACTATCGTAACTTTTAAAAAGAAGAAAACACTGCATTTGTCAAATGGAAGTCAAAGATGCTTTGGGAAAGAGGTTTTGCTTTTGTCTCCACAGGAAACAAGAGGTTGTGAGTTCCTTCCAGGTTAATATGGATCAGGTTTGACTGAGGAAGACCTCCTGAGTCTTGACAGGTGATATATGTCAACAAAGGTTACAGCTCGTCTTCCCAGGACATGGCCATTATCTCAATTTTCTCTGGGACTCCTAAAGATGTCTTTACCCACAGACAACAGGAAGCAGTCTGGAGAACAGGATACCCACATTTCCAAGAGATGCAATGGGTGGTTGTTAGTTATTTGGTGGGTTATGGATGTTTGTTGTTGTATAGGAGAGTATAGGATTAAAAGACAATTATTAATCTCAGATATTTTGCATTGGCATGGATTTTGGTATATTGATACAAATTTAGAGTTATTTTTGTTATATTGTATGTAGTTTCTACTTTTGTTTGGGATAGTGTGCTTATGCTATACATTTTATACATTTAAAATGCAATGTATAATTTTTTTTTGGTTCTTATGAGACAGGGTTTCTCTGTATTGTTTTCGAGGCTGTCGGTCCAGCCCAGCCTCGAACTCACAAAGATCCGCCTGCCTCTGCCTCCCGAGTGCTGGGATTAAAGGCGTGCGCCACCACCACCCGGCTAATGCAATTTATAATTAATAAAGGGGTATTTAATCTATAATCAAACTTGTAGCTACATTAGGTATGTTTTCAAGACTAAATGGGTATACTTTAGACAGATAGATGATTTTCAAACACTTCAAAGACCTACAGAATATGGCATTTAAGATGTTTAATAACCTAAGGTTTTTCATGATAATGAGAAATATATGCTCCTGGAAGCACCAAATTACTATTTAAATGGATGATGGGCATCAAAGAATCTCAATAGGGAGTTTGCTTTCAATGTGGCAAGGCTAGTCATTTGGGCAAGAAACCATTCTTGCCTTGGCTGTTGACATACGCTAATCAGACTGGACAGGTATGACACAGGAAAAAGACTGTTGAACTTTGTCAAGACAAGTCAGGACAATCCTTCAGGATTCCTGATTCACAGAAGAGTCTGCCAGATATTCTGCAGGCCACAGGTGAAAGCAACAGACTAACTTTGCCAATACAAAACAAGACAGTCCTTCAAATATCCTACTTCACTGGAAAGTCTGCCAGATACTCCAGACCTGTAGGTGGAAGATGGATGCCCCAACATTGCAGAGGAACTTTGGGTGACTGCCCAGGCAGCCAGATATCTCTATTGTTAGGTAATATTACATCCCTCAGGGGTCTTGATGGAGTTAAAGACTAAATAGAGTTACAGTTTTCCATAGTTATGGTAGAAGGTAAATTATGTATAAAACTTTGGAATCATTAAAATAAGATAGATAATAGACTATTTTCTCTGAATTTGCTAAATACAAATAGACTGGATATTGTAAATATAGTTCTTATTTGATAACTGTTTTTGTTGTATATAGTTTTACTATGTTAAAGTTAAATCCTTTCATTTTTATTTACACAATATGGAAAGGAAATAGAAAACATAGTAGGGCAAGGAAACACAGCTGCATTTAGGAAAGAAAGAATGCAACACACAGGGAAGGGGATTACATCTTTAAAAAAAAGAGGAAGGAAAAACAAACCTGTGAGGGAGTTAGAACTAATTGGAAACAGACAAGTGTGATCAGGTGACCTCCAGTGCCTATTACTATGAGATAATAAATACGCAGGATATTCAACTATACAAGCACCAGAGTAGAGAGAAAAAGGGGGAAAATAAAACAGGGAAAGGGAGAGCTTCAGAACTTTGAAGACATTTTTTATTTTAGGTAACTTGGAAAGAGTCGGTATGCAAATCTGATTGCCTTGGGTAGTAAGAAATTATGTTTAGTATACACAATGCCATATAGTACAGGCAAGACTATAAATTTATAGAAGGGGTAAATATGAAAGTGGTTCCTCAAGATTAAAGACTGATAAAACTAAAGTCAATTCTATGCTTCTTGTAGACTGAATTTGCTAAATAAAGTGAGACTCGGTTTGAATGCTCCTACAACTTCAGTGTATTTTCATTACATACACTTATATAGTATGCCTTTCTTCTAAAGTATTATTGATCTGATGCTCCCAATTTAATATCCTATGGTAACTCCTATTGACTGTCAATTTAAGATATTGAGAAAAACACATAGGAGATTGGTTGAGCACACTTTTGAGTGTTTGTGACAGCATTTACAGAGATGATTAACTAATGGATGGGAAGTAAAACTTCCTTAATTGGTAGCATCATCATCCAAGAGACTGGGGTTCCTGGATGAAGCACTCTAGCAAAAGCACACACCCTCTTTGCTTCTCAGCCACTGTGATATGTGTATCTTTGCTTTGCTGTGCTATTTATCCTCACATCAATCCCAGAAATACAGAACCATTCAATAACAGTCTGAGACCCCCTGGACCGGTGAACCTTCCTTTATTTTCTCTGGTATTTATCTCAGTAATTAAAAGTTCACTGATATGTACACTGTGGAAATTCAAAATCAAGGAATTAAAGGAAGATACCCCATCTTAAAAAGGGGGTCAGATACTGCAAGAGAAGAATGCTGTTGAGCTAGCACCTACCCTGGCTCTGGCATCCACAAGAGCACCATTCCTCAAGAGACATCGGACCACTTCCACCTGCCCAGCCCGCGCTGCCATGTGAAGTGCTGTTTCACCACGCTGCCAGGAAACAAAAATTGCCCAATCATAAATAAACCCACTGCTCTGTATAGCAAAGGATAAAGATGTCCTTTTTGGTGAAATTCAGCAAGATATCCAAGTGTATAAATGATCTAAAAGGAGGTGTAATTGTTCAGTTCAGAAAAATATAGTTTTGCATCTTCTTTATCTTTAGAAGGATAAATGTTTGTAAATGTTTTCTGTCAATGACAAACCAGTGAACTTACCCAAACATCCAGGATACCCTATGGTTTAACTTCATGATCAATCTTGGTAACTTACATGGGGTTGGGTGAAGATGTGATCTTTCATCCTACAAACCTATGGGATCTGTCATTGATTCCATTCAATGAGAAACTCCAGATGTCAATGATCAAGTCAACACATTGCAAAATATAAATCACATCAATTATGCCATACATGAATTTCTTTTCAAATTGCAAACCTTGTTTCTGAACAAAATCTTATGTCTGATGTCTTTTTGTTGTGAAATTAGACCACAACTAATCATAGGAGAAATCTAATTTTTCCAGTAGGTACCCTGCTTATTTTAATGATTGTATTTGATTATAGAGGGGGAGGTAGATGGGTACTGAGAGACAGTAGTAGCTGTTAACAGTTTAATTATTTTTCACTCCTTGGGTGTCTATGCAATACCAAGGTGTAATATACTCATCAGGATACAATAAAGAAGATGGTTAGAGACAAGAGATTATGCTCATAGGGAAACCTGTTATCACCAAAGGTGACAGGAATTTTGTCATTCAAATAATCTCATAGTTAGAGCACAATATTAGAATAAAACAAGTTGACTCAACACAACCTTTATAGAGGGCAAGTTGACAGTAACCAATCAGAGGAACACACTCCACATTAACTAAATCAACTCCAAACTTGCCTATGTTGGAATGGGATGTTTCTGAAAAACTCCTGTGAACAACATCTTCTGATTCTTTGCACAAAATACTCTTAAATCTAAAAGATTTAACATGAAATTAGTGGGGTTCATTGCTCACAGCTCCCTTTTCTCACCATGACGGCTTCATTGCTTTGGGAGTTATGAGAAATTTGAGTCAAGCAATACCATTAGAAAGCTTTGACCTAGATGTTGACTTGAATGTTCTCTTCTCACTGATAGCTAACTTGTCTTCTGGTGACCTTACTTTCTGATAGCGAATTTTGATTTTGTAAAGAAAATGTATATGAAACATGTTTTATAAAACAGCATTAGTCAAGCTTGTCTTTAAGTCTCGATATGTATGGTGAGAGTTTTCCTCTTTGGGAAACCATGGTTTTGTCCTTTTTTCTTCATAACCCACATGTCTAAGTAACTGAGACAGGTATCTTATAGTTACAGAAAAAAAGAAAAACTAGAAATTTCATTTCTAGGTCTGATGAAGATTTGCTATTTCATTAGTTTTGCAGAAATAAAGGCAAGATAATACTTTTTAGAAATTAAGTCAAAGATGCTTCTGGGAGTTTCTATGGAATGTTGAATTTACATGTTTATTTTTAAGCTCTACTTGATTATTAAGTTTTCAAATACTATTCTTAATATTTTAAACCTTTACTTTACACCTATATTAAATTATCCTCTGGCTTCTACACATTTCAGGGGAGAATGGATATATATATATATATATTCATATATATATATATATATATATATATATATTCTAAAGTCCGAACTTCTTATTCAAAGAGAAGTTACTTATGTACTCACTCCTGGTCATCCAACTTTATAAAGATTGTCTCGTTTAAGTCTCATTTAATGACTCTGGAGTAACTGGCATTTACTGTAAACTGTGATTACCTTTTTATATTTACATTCCTATTGTTTATGCAGAAACATAAGGAAAAGAAACTCACCAAATATTGCATATTGCCTTACTTGGAACCTTCTATTTCCTGATTGTTAGGAATAGCCTGATACCCTATTTAAATACCTTAACTTTAGAAACTGGTAGAAAAAAACTTTAAGCATAATGTAAAGTAGGAACTTGACCACGAATCAGCCAATTGGTTATAAGAAAATAGAAATTCTTAATGATCTGTGCTGTACTCTCAAGACCCCTTGAGTGCTTGCCTTTCTGCTCTCACAATGAATTGTCAATGAATAGGTTAGAGGTGTGTAATAGAACACAGGCTGCCAGTTAAAGTTGATGTATAAGTTTTCTGGGAAAGGAAGTTGTAAGGAAAAAATATGTCTGCAAATGTCTGAGCTTTTGGTGCATCTTATGCTTGTTGTGAATTTTCAGACAAAACAAAACTGGCAGGAGAATGCACATGTGCATGTCCAAAGCAAGTACCAAGAGTCATGCCCCTCTTACACAGCTTTAAAATCGGCTCAGCAGACAGCTACATTGACTCTCACTTAGGTTGCATCTAGTTGGAAAAACATCAAAGCACAAACGACAGAATTGCATTCGCGATGCAACACGATGCCAGCAACACATAGAGGTGCCAAGGGTGGGTGCATTGAGGTCAGGACATGACTGACTGACACTGTCACAGCAAGCAGGCAGTCCATGTCCACACAGCTTCGTAATCAAATCACATAGTTCTAGATCCAGTAGCAATGTCCTAATATCTTGAGAACGCACAAGTTCACAGGCACCACCTGCTAGAGAAAGTTATATTCCTTTAAATGTAGAGTTGCCAGATTCAGCAAATAAATAGTTCAAGTGTCCATTTCAATTTTAATTCCAGACAATCAAGTAATTATTTTGCCATGTCTCAACGGTTGCATTACATCTACTTACACTCAAAGGAATTCAGTGTTTTATCTGGAATGAAAACTAAATAGAGAGTTTTGTGTCCTGATCAGTAACTCTACACTGTCTCCTATCTGAAGGATATAGCTTTAAAAAAATGAACAAACAAAATCTATCCATGGATGCTGCTGAGAAGGGGTGGGTTGACTGAAGTTCCCAAGTGCTTGTTCAAAGGGGGCTGCAACAAACAATATAAAGGACAAACAGATACAACTAATGAAGAAATTTAGGACAGTTGCCATGTGGGAGCTAAAGTCTAGCATACACATTGCTAAATCTAAGATTTTTTTTCAAAGCATGAAAGGATTGGAATACAAGAAACCTATGTGCAAGTATAATTCTCTCTGTGTCCCTGAGGAGACCACACAACAGGTAAATAATCAACAAACTATTTGGAATTGGTCACTTATGTGGTTGTTTGTGGATTATTTTTTGAAGGGTTCTGAAAAATGTCTACTACATGAAACTTCAGCTGGGTGTGGTGGTACAGAACTTTAATCCCAGCACTCAGGGGTCAGAGGCTGGTAGATCTCAGAGTTTAAGGCTAGCCTGGTCTACAGAGTGAATTCCAAGACTGTCAGAACTACACAGAGAAACCCTGCCTCAGAAAACCAAAAAGGAAAAAAAAAAAAGAAATTTCAGCCAAGCTCCCCATTTAATATAATTATGTATGTCATTGTGGTAATATGATGATATATTTTAACATATCACTATTACTCTGTATTTCCTGTAAGTGTTGCAATGCAAATGAGGAAAGAGGTAAAATATAGGGAAAAGAGAATGAAAAAGAAAACAGCATTAGTGGGTCAGCACATAGGAGTACTTTTCTTAAAATCACTGCCCTGTGTGCAAGAATATTCAGGTTCAATTTCTTTTTCTGTTTGATTGTTTTTGCTAAGACATAATTAAATTAAATAAAACTTTAAAAATTGTAGGAAGTGATAAATCCATGTTATAGAATATAAAAAGGGGAGAATCTGATACCAAATAAATAATGCCCACTACTGATTTGTCTCTGGTCTCTGTTAATCTTTTGATAAGAGATTATGAAAAAAAAGATTAATAAGAAACAAAAAGATGAATTATTTTCTTTTTCCTGTGTGTGTGTGTATGTGTGTGTGTGTGTGTGTGTATGCGTGCGTGTGTGAGCGTTTGTGTTTATAAGCCAGGGATTCAAAAGATTTCCTCAATTGTTCTCCATCTATTTTTTTGAGGTAGGGTCTCTCAGTGAACTTGAAGCGCATATGTTTGGTCAGACTAGCTGTCATAAGCCCCAGGAGGGTCCTCTTTTCTGTCTCCAAAGCAAGCACTGGGATTGCAGAAACACACAGGACTTTTTATGATGAGTGACAGAGATAGAACTCAGAGCCTCATACTTACATGGCACTCACTTTAATGACTATGCCATCTCTCTGGCCCCATGAATTCTTTAGGCATTAAAAAAATTAACCTCAAGTTGCCCTACTAGGAAATGGCTCCTGTACTTGGTGATTAAGGATTGCCATGTAATGTTACGTTAGGGCCAATATGCTGTGATTAAGGAAACATAAATACAGACCTGAAATTCTTCAATGGTTTTATGATCTCACTTTTGGGCAATATAGAGAGTATATCAAATAAATTGGGTTCTCCTATGGGCTCTGTCCCAGCACCAGAGCTTTCAAAAACTACATAAAGTATAGAGAAATGAGAATGTGGGAAGGGCACGGGTAAAACAGAACCTAGGCATTCTGTTTCACAACTTAAATGGGGAAAGCTATCCCCAAATGAGAACAGGCTGCAGTCAACAGCTACAAGTATGGTCACTTTAATAAACAACCATTAATGTTCATGAAGGGAGAATTACTTTGTTGCATGTGCTTTTTTAAAATTTAATCCTCATGTTGTCCCGGGAGTGTCTAGTATCTGAATAAACACATATAGTGGGTTCTCCTTCCCTGGAGAAATTTTATATCAGATTTTTTTGCAATAAAAAAGTTACCAGAGAAAGGGTGGTTCAAGACAGTGAGAGAAACACATATATCAACTGAAAATACTAGTTTAGGCCAGACAGAATTCTGGAACACCCAGTACTTAATGCAGAAAGAAAGGTGCCCGGAGACCAGCATTCATTTTGTAATATTGTTGATAACTATTTCAGGCTTAAGAAACATCCACTTCACAAATGAATAAGATGGAAGTTAAAACTCAGTAGGATATGGCAAAGGAGCTTTGATATCACAAGCAATTACCCTCACTGAGGCCAATATCTGGTTAGTCTTTGCCAACATTGAGTATGGAGCTCATTTTAATGGAAATTACCTGAAATACAATGCATTCAAGCAAATTAGGGTGAGCCCTGAAGACTATTTTGCAACCCATCGCTCATTCGCTTTCAAAGGTGTGTGTTTATCTGAAGCACGCTGAAGGCTGGCTCAGACTCACAAGTCACCTGCCTCAACTTTCCAACGGCTAGGGACTGCAGATGTGTATGACCACACAGCCTCAGGGGAGTTTTAAAAACATCCCCTGTTTTACTATATGCATTAGATGAATGTTTTATCCATCTGCACCAGGAAACCTAAACTGTTGTCAATCCCCACCTTCCATTTGTTTTCTGACACCTGGATTCTGCATTCAGTAAAGTTCCAAATGTTATGTTACAAAACGATGTTTCAGTGGACCTTCTCTGCGCTCTAATGACACACACACATACAAGCCCACACACGCCCACTCTGGCTCTCTCATTCTTTCTCCCTGTGGTTATTCTGACCCAAGCCATACTCACAATGTTAGTGACATCTGGAGAGGCTCCGTTCTGCAGCAGAAGGAGGACAATGTTCAAGTGGCCCATGAAGGCAGCCACATGTATTGGTGTGAGGCCAGACTGTGAAACAAAGCAACAGCAGTTTTACTCCTCTGCACCATGGGCTTTGGGGCTTCTTCAGATAAATAAGACAAGTGAAGAGGACAGAAGATGGATGAGAGGAAGAGGGAGGCATAAGAGGAAATGTTTGGTGAGAAGCTGAAACACTTTTCTACCTCTGTTATAGCTTGGATTGATGCCCCATATTTCACCAGCAGTTCCATGACTTTGATGCGGTTTTTCTTGCAGGCAATGTGCAGTGGAGTAAAACCATTCTGTGCAAAAGACAATCGAGTTAGTTGAAAACCATGCAGAAACAGTTCTCACACAGCTCCATGCTGGCACATCACAGACGATAATGCTGCATCATCACATAATGTCACCGGCTCTTCAGATCCTACACAGGTGGAAATTTGGGATGAGACGTGGTGGTGGTGTGTGTGTATGGAAAGTGAATTTTGCTTCTGTCATTGTGAGTGCATACAGTGAAGACGAAAGCAGAGAAAGGTATGTAAGCCTATTTTTCAGGGTAGAAAAAAAATGGAGGGCAATTATGCATTAGATGGACTAAAGTGTTTGAGGCTGTCTTGACTGGTCAGGTGATGGAGAAAAAGATGGAGTGAATAGAAGTATATTTTGATGTTGGAGGGCAAGTTTCTCAGAGCATAAGAATTGTTCATCTACTTCAAAAAGCTAGCAATAGCAACATGATGGCTTTATAAAAAAGTGTTTCAGCTTTGCTATTATTTTCTTAGGGAGAGTTTCAAATTAGCAGAAATCATTTAGCTGACAGTATTTATAAAAGAAGTAAGTTTTATATTATAACATGTATACCAATCAGATGCATTTGATTTTATTAAAAAATTAAGTTCCCAGATACATTTTATTTTATGTGAAAATTATTACACACATTCCCGAATATTTTCAAGAAAGGTATGGTGAATTTCAGGGATGGCTGACAGATGACACCTCTGAAAGCTAAAGTTAGGTGGGGCTTCTGGGAGGTATTTGAAATTTTGTAAACTATGTTACTATTCAGGAATTTGGGGAAATCACATAAAAATTTACCTAGCCCCATGCTAAATTGTTATGTGTTACATCTGTTGTCTTTTTATTTTAACAATTGTTCTTTTACAGAGTAATACCTTGGCAATTAACAGTTTTAAATGTCCCAGTGTGGACTGTCTGTTATTTGATATTTTGGCATGTAACCAGCTCTCAGGAAAACCTGGTCTCACTTAAGCAGTGACACTGTATTCTTTAAAGTGGAGTGATAAACATAACTTGTTGAGTCATGCTCCCTGTTTATAAACTATGTCATCAGCCAGAGATGAGTAGCAACATATACATGTGGCATTAAAATACATGCAACAAATCACCTGTTATAGATTATAAGCCTGTTCATCACTATCTCATAAAAAGGATTTTCAATTTCTTATGAGAAAATTCAGGTCTTCACATATTTGAACATGACCCTGAAAGTATAATCACTTTCTACCTAAATAGTAATGGGTAGATTCCACCACTTTTTTTTCAAATTAATCAGTATGCTCAATATTTATTAATTTAATTGATTTACTATTTTGCTTATTGATCAAATGGTTGACTGACTTTTGAGATACTGTGATCTCACTTACTCTAAGCTGACAACAAACCTGCAATGTAGTCAAGGATGACCTTGAATCTCTGAACTCTTACCTCTACCTCCTGAGCACTAAGATTATAGGCATGTGCCAACATGCCTTATTTGTGTAGTGCTGGGGATCAAACCTAGGGTCTCATAGATGCTAGGCAATTACACTACAAATTCAGCTACTACCCTAGCCCAACATTTAATCATTTTAACGACAGACTCTCAAAACTGAAGTGAATTTTAGTTGACATAAATCATATAAACATACAGGAAAACAAAACAATGTGTTCTTAGAGTGAGAATTAGAAAATGAATGGCATAAATTAGTACCTGCCTAATGTACTATTTAGTTAGTCTGTAAGTGAAGCAAGAAAGATTTGTTCCATATTATTAGACCATGAGAGACACAAAGCTATTCTGGGAATGGCTTTCTACAGTTTATCTTGAGCGGGCCATGGAATGCTTTCTTTAAAACATTTTGCAGGGCAGTAATATACCAAGTATCACCCAGCCCATGGTCATGTAGTCAGTACATAAAGAAAATGTCCAAGTGAATTCTCACCAGCTTTTGTCTTACACCTTCTCGTAGAGTCAAATATATTCACCATTTTCAAACCTTTGCTTTCCTTAAGAGACTCAGACCAAATTTTCATACCTATATCCTAAATCCAGCTAGTATTTTGTGATACCTAGAACTGATTTTGTTATTTCTTTTTCCCTCCCAAGACAGGGTTTCTCTCTCTAGCTCTGCTGTCCTGGAGCTAGCTCTCTAGACCAGGCTGGTCTCAAACCCAGAGATCAGCCTGCCTCTGCCTCTGCCTCTGCCTCTTAAATAAATGTACCACCACACCCTGCTATTTCTTACTTCTTAACATGTAGCTTCTATTTTAAAACACTCATCATCCCAGAGTTTCATGCTGTTTGCAATTCACAGAAATAATAATCTAGTGTTCTCCTAAACCTGCTCACATTCACTACCACTTAGGAAACTATGGAAGCACAAAGTAGGTTATCAGCTTTCATGGGGTGACAAGTATGGCAGCTATTAACTGTGTATTTATAAACAAACATGGCTATATGTGCCATTGGCCTATCAATGTGATTTTGCTTTTTCAGGCTATATTTGCTGAATGTGGATTGGGCCAGGTTTACCAAGGCTCTCGCATTCGGGTTGGCTCTCTTGTCCAGAAGGAGTTTGGTGACACGGTAGTGACCACAATGTGCAGCAACATGAAGGGCAGTCAGGTAATCCAGGGTGACATCATCTACAGGTGCCTTGTGCTGTAGCAGGTGCTTCACACATTCCACGTGGTCCCCCTGTGCAGCCATGTGAAGTGGAGACAGCCCATTCTGCACATCAAAACAAAGGAAAACCAAGTCCACGGTTTGTTTTTATTACTCTCATGTTTGTGGTCCTAATAAAGTTAATATTGACCTGTAACATAGCTGGAGTCAGGAAAAATAATTCTCCCTTAACATCCAAATATAGAACAGATTATGTTAAGTAAATAAAGAAGGAGATGGTATATTTAATTTTATAACCATAATAATCTTTAGCAAAAGACATTACATGTTTCTCATAGTATGTATCAATTCAACTCAAGTTTTACAAATTATGAGAGCAGTAGAAGATATATAGAAATGATAGGTCATGCATAAATCATTTGTATCTAATACTATACATAGCAGTCTCCATTAAATTATCTCTCTAATTGCATGTCTTTTCCTATAAACAGAGTAGTACTTGGGTAAAGAGAGGGACACGTGTGATCGTGGGTGGAGGAGACAGGAAAATTTTGAACTTATCTTAGGGTCAGTATTCAGGAAAATTCTGAGATGCCTTTTTCCAATAATAATACAAGACTTACTTCAAAGTAGGAGGAAAGAGACAGGTAATTTCTAGAAGAACATGAAGCCAGTGCAGGCCATGTATCAATGACCTCATGGCTCTGTAACTTGAGGACAGTCTAGATTTCTGATTACAAATATAGACTCAGACAGCTTTCACCTTAAACTCTAAAGGCAATCTATCATAAAACTCAAGAGATAGAGCAAGCCATTCTCTAAGTTGAGAACAACTCCCTATTTTGTGGAGTTGGTTCTCTCCTTCTATCTTTACATGGTTTCTAGAAGGCTTGCTTGACAAGTGCCTTATAGCCTAAAGAGCCATCTTGTCACATCTCCAACCACCCTCCTTTTTTGAGTGTAGGCAAATATACTTCAAGGAAGTACTCACAAAATATTAGGAAAAATTACAATATTGTTTGTGCTTAACAGCCACACAGGTACCATCAAATATAGTCTGTTGGTCAAAAAAAAGCTATTTTGGTATCTACACCAAGAAACAACTTAAACATCATTACACCAGATGCCTAGATCCCAGCAAAAAAAACACAAACATGAATAGCCAAGACAATACACCTCCTCTAGAAGCCAGAAACCCAAAAAATGTAATTAGCTGAAGCACAAGACAAGGACTTCAAAATAACAATTAGGAATATATTCAAAGACCCAAACAGTTGAATGAAATAATGAAAACATTTCAAGAAATAAAAGTAGAAATAGAAAATCTGAGAAAATTCAAACTGAAATAAAACTGGAAATGAAAACTTTAGGATATCAAACGAAAAACCTCAGAGGTAAGCCCCACCAGAAACTACAAGCCAGGAAAAAGAGAATTCCAGATCTTATCTTAAAACCTTTTATGAAAGATTTATTTATTATGTATACAGTGTTCTGACTGCATGTACACCTGCACACCAGTAGTGGGCGCCAGATCTCCTTATAAATAGTTGTGAGCCACCATGTGGTTACTGGGAATTCAGGACCTCTGGAAGAGCAGCCAGTGCTCTTAACCTCTGACCATCTCTCTAGCCCTGAGAATTCCAGATCTTGAAGACAAGGTAGCAGAAATGGATAGCTCAGTCCAAGAAGATAATATATATATATATATATATATATATGTATATATATATATATATATATATATATCAGGCACAAACATCCAGGAAATCTGGGACACCATGAAAAAACCAAACCCATAAATAATATGTATGGAGGAATAAGAAGAAACCCAGGTCAAAAGCATAGAAAATATTTTTAATAATAGAAGAAAATTACTCCAATCTAAAGAAAGGTATGCCTATCAAGGTAAAGAAGCATATAGAATACCAAACAGACAGAACAAGAAAAGAAACTCCCCATGACACATAATAATTAAGGCACTAAATGTTCAGAACAAAGGAAGGATATTAAAAACTTCATGAGAGAAAAACCAAGTCATATTTAAAGTCAAATTCATTACAATAGCACCAAACTTTTCAATGTAGACTGTGAAAGCCAGGAGTGTCTGGAGTTATGTTATACAATCTCTAAGAGACAACAGATGCCATCCCAGATTAAATATACCTGGTGATCTGGAAAAAGAGTCATGTGCATACTCTATAAGACAGAATCAAAACAAATGCAAGCACTTTATGAAAGACCTCAATAGACAGTAAGGAAGCAAATGTGGTATCAGCTAAGTGGATTGGGAGGGTGAATAAGAAGAGATGTTCAGAGGCATAAGAGACTTTGTGAGAGAGGTCAGATATGGTTGGAAAGGCTGAGACAACAGGATTTGCCTTGGGTAGTGTATTCAGCACAGCTGGGTTGCAGAAAAAATAACAGAAACCAGTTAGGGGTCTCTGTAATGATTCAAGTGGGACACATGTTTAACAGCTTCTGGCTTAATGATGTATATAGAAGAAAAGGCAACAGAAAGAGGAATGAAAAAAGGGGAAGCCCACCATAATATGAGTTATCTGATAAATAGAAAGAATGAGATGTCCATGAATGAATATAAAAAATTCAAAGAAGGCTATATTTAGGAGCAGGCAAAATATCATAAACTTATTTTAACTGCCCAGTAAATATCCAAGTAGTCATGGGGAGCTGCCATGAACATATAGAATTCTAGAAATATCCACATGGGTGTCAGTAGAGCACAGGTACTGTTTAAAGAAATAACTTCAAAGGAAGTGAGTAGGAGAGACAAAGCCAACACAGAATGTGGCCTCTAACACAGAATTGATAACAGCCAGAGAACAGGGAATAAAGAGGAAATAGTCACGGAGACTGGGGAGCAGATGCTAGAGATGCAGAAGGAATCCAAAGAAATGTCGCGTCCTAGAAGGCAAATGAGGAAAGCATTTGGAAAAGGGAGGAACTGAAAGCTGTGCCAGGTGATAGAAATAGGATAGAACACAGGCTCCACAAGCTCTGATTCATGCAACCAGATAGCTGTGAAAGTAGGAGTTTATGGACATTGTCTCCTGCTTGCTTCAGTTTTTCTCAGTGTTGTATGAAGAAATAAAAGATGTCTAAGCAATATAAAGAAAAATTGTGGCTTGGTTAGGTAGCAGGGAGCAAGATGAGTCACTATGGAAATTGCACTGTAATTTGTCAGCCAACACACTGGGCTAAGCTAAGGTTAGTGATCATGAGTCTGCAGGGACTACATGACTGCTGTCACGCTCAGGTACAAGAACGTGGCATGGACTTAGTCACCAGAGGTTGTAGGAAGTTGTTCAAGGGAGTGATAGAAATGGAACTTCGTTGTTCAGAGGTAAGGGCCCAGGGTGAAGATGGAGACAGCACACCTGCCTGGGATTGGAGACTCAGAGTGAGTGAGCTAAGACCTAGGAGCGGTGCTTGGAGAATGTGAGGCTAGCGATGGGAATTACAGAGACCTTACAGTCAGTAAGTACAGTGAGAATTCATCACGGATTATGGTGAAGATTCATTTTTCTGCGAGCTATAGCTTTCAATGAATAAGGAGAAGATGCTTTGAGGAGGATGACTGGGTAACTCAAAACTGAGAGCTGTGATGGGGACACTATGTCACGCATGTGCCAGTGGCATAGTCCTACTCCAACCCTCTCAGCTCATCTGTTCCAAGTCCTTTACCCTCACAGAGCTCTGCTTTTCCTAATCTTCTCCTGTCTCTCCTGCCTAGAGAGTCCAAGCTTCTTCATGATACTTTCTTATTAGTATTCATCTTGCTAGTTCCTTGCTGACCAGAACAGTGTCTGGCATACTGTATCTTCTCCATACATAATAAAGCAGGATATGATGCTGAATGGGTATCACCATGTGGTCACAAATGTTCTATGCTGAACCCTTAAATTAAAATGACTCCTGATTAGACAGGAAAGTCATCTCAAAAATCACACTTAGATAATTTATATTCTTGCTGGTTATGAATCTATTTTAACTCAAGGGCAAAGGATATCTGAACATTTCTTGGATGCTCATGTAGACCTCAGTTTTATAAGCATTTTAAAATTTTGGGTGTAACATGATTGGACTGAAATTTTGTTTCCATTTAAATTGCAGTCTACTTCTTTAACAATCTCTCCACCATTACCTCTGCCTAACCCAGTCTAAACTGTTGCATATTTTAAAATATATTTTTGCAACATTCATAGTACAGAGTGATAATGAAAACAATGCAGATAACTTACTTCACTTTATATATTTCTTGTATGAAGTCGGGTTTTTTTAATGGCTGGTGGAACATATCTTTTAGAGAATGACTGAGTTCTTATATATGTTAAGTGTGTGTACTGGTTCACTCCAAATGATACCAACGAAATTAGCAATTAAAAAAGAAATTGAGCCAGACATGAAGGCACATGCCTTTAATCTCAGCACTTAGGAGGCAAAGGCAGGCTGATTTGTGAGTTGGAGGCCAACCCGGTCTATAGAACAAGTTTCAGGACAGCCAGGGTTATACAGAGAAACTCTGTCTCAAAACACCAATGCAATATATACGATGTACAAAATTATCTATCAAGGCAATACCATTAACATTGGAAGATAAAGCTTTGAGCTACTCTAATCTTTTTCTCTTTGGGGTAATAATAATTAGAACAATTACTATTACTTAATAGTGGAGTTAGTTGACTACATTGATTATCTGCATTATTTTCCATTATCATTCTATACTGTGGATGCTGTGTACACACGAGTATGTGTGTGTGTGTTTTTTATAAGAGGCCAGTGTCTTTATTTTCTTCATCTTGCCCTATTGCTAGCATTCGGGAATACCAGCATTATTAAGGTGTGGGACTAGGGTGGAATCTGAAGAAAAATGTAAGAGGTTCACATCAGAATTTTTGTTGTATTTAAGGGGTCTAAAAATTGTTGCTTATCCCATTAAATAATTCTGGGTGATTAAATGTCAATTTATGTTTTACAGTATTTTCTGATAAACATTGAAGAAACAAACAACAATAAGTTTACAAATATCAACAATGAAAATCCTCCAAACAATTCATTTACTGTGTAGTTTTTATTTACATGTAAATGGGTTTTCTTGCTTGAACACCTAAATAAAGTGAGGCAAAAAAATGTTCACTGTATTATGCCATAAAGAACAGAATGCTTGCTTTAGCTTGCTTTATGGTTCTTTATAGGTGGCTAATCTTAAGGTATGCTGTTCTTATCGCCTTTATAAGGCCCTAATATAGTCAAACGGCTCTACTATTAAGTAATTATTCTAACTAGTATTATGAAAAAGAAAAAGATTAAAGAAGTTCAAAGCTTTATCTTCTAGTGTCCACATGTATTATATAGTTATCTTAGAAAGTCATAAGGTATCTTAGTTCATGCAATGTAATAGTCTTATATATATTAATATATTTAATACTCTTATTTTTATATAATATGGTTAGTCACGTTTTAATCTACAGTAAAAATAGCTTTAAAAAAGCAGGAGGAACCTATAGGTATTCATTTAACTTATCTTGATGCATGCATTTGCTCATTTTAATAGTTTTGCAAGTTTGGTGTTATTTCTTATTTCTAGCACATTGAATAAGTAAAAAAAAAAAACTTCAGCTGGTGTGTTGGTTTTAAGAGGAGAGATTATCGAAAGTGCCGTAAGTGTCCGCAGATGCATCTTACTCATCATGACTCACCTTGGTCCTTGCCAGCAAGGGAGCACCCCGTTCCAGCAGCAGCTCCACTACGTGGTCATGGCCACTTCGCGCAGCACAGTGGAGTGGAGTCAACCCATCCTGAAGAGAGAATTAAGATACTAATTCTGCATTCTCACTCCTTTACAAGCAAACAAACAAAAACAAGATTATGTCTATTGCCACTAACAGTAGAGAGGCTCTGAAATTCCATCCTGATGATCTGATAAAAACCACAACAAAATGGCAGCTACTTGCCTAACACACACACACACACACACACACACACACACACACACACACACACACACACGGAGGTAAGAGGGAGGGAGGAAGACAAAGAGAGAGGGGTGAGTGAAAGAAAGAAAACAGAAAAAGATTATGACATACAGAATTAGGAAGGGAAAACTTAGGCTCCCCCCAACTCTGTCCTGATACAGGCTGACTGTCTGTATTAGAACAGGCTGACCCAGGAGATGATAAGGCACACTGATGGCTGTATCATCCTACTTACTTGGAACCAAAACTGTGGTTGTACCGTTATGCCCTTTGATTTTGGATTTCCTTTGCATCATTTTGATTTAAAAATTCTTCTTTCTCTAATTTGTCCATGAATATTCTCTTATAGACAGTAACTACATTCTCATATTTTTCAGAAGTATCTTGTGGTGCCCTGAACTTTTTCGTACTCTTTAAAGAGTTTTCAACATTTAACAAAAGTCATACAACTATTTCAAAGATGAAATTTATTATTAACAAATGCAACTAAAACTATAAATTTTATAGTTAGTTAAAATGAAAGGAGATCATCAGTGCTGCCATCATACCTGACTTTGTCCTTTGGGTTGTGACAATCAAACTCAGGTCTTGAGGTTTTGTAGCAATGACTTTACCAAAGGAGCTGTCCTCCCAGCCCCAAATGTAGACATTTTAAGACTTCTAATTGCCTAATTAAATTTGAGGGCCCCACCTATTTTTGGTTAGGATTTTGAGTAATAATGACTCTTGGCTGCATTGCATCTGTTTAGCTAGTGAGAAGATACTGAAGAACTAAAACCAATCTTGCAGTTTGGAGGTATCAGAAGTTAGCATGAAAAGATACCATTTTAAAGAAAGCATTTAGCCACAGCTGTTGGAAGTGCCACATTATTTTCAAGATTCCCTGCAGGAGCAGAAAGAGAGATGGAGGGGGAAAATGATAACTTTGTTGTCTTGATACCAGCATCCTGTAGTACTGGTATAAGTTGTATAGTAAATGACATAGCCACTTTCTCAAATGCATGCTTGGAGTTTCATCTTTCTTTAGTTTGAGGAACATCAGGCAGATAGCAGAGGACTCTGTGCCCTGGACTCCAGAGACACAAAACCCTGGGGAGAATAGAAGCTCAGTAGCCTTTGACCAGTCTCTATAAGATGTGGCTCCATGCTATGCACTAAGAGGACATGTCATCTGTCTTACAGCCTTGAAGGCATGACAAGGGGATGGATGCTGGCATCTCCAGCTAAAGGCAGATATATAATTTTGTATGAATTGCCTAAATCACTCTCTCTGTAATCATAGTAAAACCACAAAAATACCCTCCAGGTAACAGTAGGAACTCTGGAGAAATTTTAGCATACCCACGAGAGCATCAAAGAAATAGTGAGGACCAAGTTTTCAGTCTCATGGTTAATGATACAATTATACTTGCCTTTATGAAAGACCGGGGACTAGTGATGCTAAATTCATTGTCTGAAAGCTCAGACAGGCTGGAATTTGAATCTTTACTATAAAACACACCATCAAATTACTGACAATTCTTGTCCAGGTTTTACATTCCAGGACCTCTAAGTTATACTTTGAGGCTACATTTCTCTGCCCTCCAAAGTTCTTTTCTTTATGTGCCTATCCTTCTTCACTAAAATCAAACAGACAGACAGACAGACAGACAGACAGACAGACAGACAGACAGACAGACAGACAGACATGCTGGCCTTCCTACTGTGAGCAATTTGGCCAAGTCTACTTGGTTAACACAAGAGAGGCATTGCCTATCTATCTGACAACTCAGAAGTGCTTTGTACAACCCTTGATTCCTCTATCTATTCATTTCCTCACTCTCTCAGGGCTATTTTTCCTGTAATGGATGCTGAAAGCAGATCGTTATTATAAAAATGCTGCATTCCTAGCTCATATTACATAATTGTGCCAAAGCAAGTTTCACCCATTTAGCAACTCATTTCTCAAATTAAAAAGTTCATATTTCTCAAGAAGATAATATGCTTCCTAAGTTGTTGGGAAGGGAAAATAAGATGATATTTCTAGTGCACTTAGTAAGGTGCCTTGGACATCAAACACGTACGATCACTGGTAGCTATTACCAATTCTCTAATTACCTCTTATAGTAAGTAGAAAGGGGGAGTTCCTTTTTCTCACGTGTTTTACTCAACATCCTTTAGTGTTTTGCATACTTTTATTATTGGCATTGAAATATGTGTTTTAATATTTTAAATATAGTCTTCCTATGGGGTAGCTGTACATTTAAATAATAAATAAGTTTCAAAACAGGAGAGAGTAATGACCTTAATAAAACCCAAATTAATAGACTCATTTTAACTGCTGTAAAAATTTATAGTTGAACCTTAAAGTGAGGAGCTTTAGACATTAACAAAGGGCTCTGATTAAAACGTCTCAGAGTTTCATACTAAAGCCTGCCAATAATGAGGTTTCCAAGATGCCAAATACCTCAATGGTTGCCAAAAGGGAAGTGACAGTGGGGAGGAACCAAGGCACAGATTCATTTTTTAATCACACATAACCTCTGTAAATTTGATCTTCTTAAGATAATGGAAACTTCAAATGTGAAAAGGAATGAGCACATGAGGGAGAATTGCAGACAAAATGTATTATATTCTGATGATTTGGGAATATCTTGATTGCTACAGGTAACTGAAAATGATACCTAAGATTTTGAAATTATGTGTATAGAAACCCTTCTATCATAATAATCAAAAATTTAAGCATTTTCTATTTCACATACACTTTAAGAGACCAGAAAACAAACTCAAATCCATTATCTTAGTAATCAAGTATTGAAGTTCCAGAAGGGCCTCTCAACCCTAAGTCACAATTCTTGAGTTCCGGCTTCACCTTGTAGCTGGGAGGAGAATCATGCCCCTTTTAGCTGTGGTCAGGGTATGAGACTCCAACAATGCTGGAATCCAGTGCTACTTAGACATGAGGTATGCTTAGCTCCCAAGCGGAAAGCTTTCCAGCAGCCAACACTGTTCACCATCCTATGTGTTCTTCATGAAACTAGGCCCCCCAAAAACACACAGAGTTCACTTTCACAGTCCATGCCAGTTCTGCCTATAGCAACACCATGTTAGCATCTCTCAGCAGATAATGGAGAGAATATTTATACCGTGGGTGTCAGCAAGGAGGAAGCATACAAACCAAGCATTTCATTTTCCCTTGTTTTTAAAGAACCAATTGTTAACTAGCATACACCAGCATACAATATCCCTTGGGTACCATGGTCAGCCCCAGCCTTCCTCTGCCCTGTGTGTGTGTGTGTGTGTGTGTGTGTGTGTGTGTGTGTGTGTGTGTGTGTGCGTGTGTGTGTGTGTGTGTGTGTGTGTGTGTGTGCGCGCGTGTGCATGCATGTGTGTTCCTGACTCTTTCCCACACCTGCTCTTTCTTCCACCCTCTCCACAGTACTAAGTATCAAGTGTGAGTGACCTCAGACAGCATTAACAAAAGCAGTGAATATCCATAGGACACCAGCCAAGACTGTTAAAAATTATTGCACGAAGGTTTAAAAACGGGGCATGAACTAAGGGAAGAACAATGACAACAATGCAAGAAGCAGACAAAGCCTGAAAATCCTCAGGATCCCAGATTGCCCCCAGTTTCCTACCCACAACACAGCAGAGGAAGGGCCAGGGTTACAAGGCAAAGGCTGAAACCAGGCAAAACTACGCAACGACAGGGCACCACACTCTGGACAGACAAACAAACATTTCCCAAACTCCCACATGGCATAATGCTGCTACCCTGGAACAAACGTTATAAGAGAAATGAAGTGGATTTTTGTTTGCTTGTTTTGTTGTTGTTGTTAGAACCATTTTTTGAGTTAATGAAAGAAAACAACTTGTAGTGTACGACTGGTGCAGATTCTAGAAGCTAAACAATTGCTTGCTTCAAAATAGGTAAGTGGGCTGGATTTGACCCCTATTTCTTAGTCTGTGGGAATATGAAGTCCTAAAATATAAAAATGTATGGAGAAAATACATGTTCTATCTACTCTCTTCAATAGGCTTTGTTGTTTATCACATAATTTATCATGGATTTTTTTTGCTTGCTTGCTTGTTTGCTTGTTTATTTGAGAGGGTTTTTGTTTGTTCTCTTTTGTTTTGAAGAGGTTTTCAAACAGTTTTTAACTTGACTTTTTTTGAGAATTTCCTAAATGCCTGCTATATTTCTACCCATCTCTTTTTCCTCTTCAACTCCTCCTGTGACCACTTCCCTCACACTCACGACCTCTTCTTTATTCTTTGTTATTGCTACACACACGCACACACCACACATGCACACACACACCACACACGCACACACACACCACACACGCACACACACACCACTGCTGAATCTGTTTGGAATCGTTCATGAGCACCTGTGTTGAGGGCTTACTTCTTGGGATTGGATCTTATCAGGGGTTTGTCTCTGGGGAAAGCTTATTGTTCCTCTTTCAACAGCAGTTAGTGGCCTGTAGTTTTTCACCTGCTTGTAGGACCCTTCAAGATTCTTGCAACTGTGTTGGCATGTCATCTGATGTTGTTGTTACATGGGTCTTGGTTCCATGATGATAGTATTAGATTTCCCTCTCAAATATAGAAGATTCTATCTCTATGAAATAGCATTTGGGGGGGGGGTGTTTCTTCTGTTTGTTGTTGAGACAGGGTCTCTTTTCATAACCCAGGCTGGCTTAAAACTCACACTGTAGCCCAGGCTGACCTCAGAATTACAATCCTGTTGCTCTCTTCTGTCTGAGTACTGGGATTGCAGGTGTACATAATCATATTGTGCATACAAGTGTGTACATTACTATACCTGACTCAATTTTGTATTTCAAAAATACTCCAAATTTTTGAGAAGTCTCTTATTACCCAAATCTACTCCAGAAAGCCGATATTACAATACAACACTCTATATAAATATATATATATATATGTGTATATATATGTATATTTGAGAAAAAAGTACATATAATATTAGCACTATTATAAAAAATATGAGTAGCTAAGTACTTGATTTTCCTTCCTTTCTTCTTCCTTTTTTTCTTTATTTTTCTTTTTTGAGATAATTTCATGCAGCCAGGTGGTGGTGGTGCATGCCTTTAATCCCAGCACTCGGGAGGCAGAGGCAGGCAGATCTCTGTGAGTTCAAAGCCAGCCTGGTCTACAAAGCAAGTTCCAGGACAGCCATGACTGTTACACAGAGAAACCCTGTCAAGAAAAGCACACAAACACACAAAACCCTAAAAAACAGAGATAATTTCATGCATCTCGGGCTAGCCAAAGATAAAATTTAACTTCTGACCTGTCTCACTATACTTTCTGAATGTAGGATATTAGTATTATAAGTGTGCTACAGGTGGTACTGTTGTGCATCTAGCCCAGGGCTTTTTGCAAGATAGGCATGCACGGCACTAACTGAGGAAAATAACATAGCTATGAGTTAAGCCTCATAAAACCTTATGAAATTAGGGGCTCTGGTAGCAAAATCCTGAGGTCAGAAAAATACCAACACTATCTAGCTTAATGAATGGCACAAATAGAATTTGAGATCAGACAGTCTGTGTTTTAACATAATAGCTTATTCACTATATGAGCATTAAGATGTTAGGATATCATTTTACTTCAGAAATTTGAAATGAATGAAGGGCTCCTCTTGTACTAAGATAAAGGTTTACCTTGCCAACTGTCTGCTGACTTTCTGTCAGCACGACAGTGAATATAGCACAACTATTTAAGAAGCACAAAAGCTGTCAATATGCATGAAAGCATGTTTGCATAAGTCACAGTCTCCAATGTTAAATGCGCCAATCAATTTGCCTTCTTGATGATTACCCAAAGGAGACCTGGGGAAATGCAGTCTTTGATCATTATTCCCAGAAATTGAGCAAGAAAAACTATGACAATGAGGGCTTAGTAGTCTGCTTCTCTAGACATCTATGAGCAAACATTAATTTCATTTTATTAGTTGAAATCTGCAAGTATTATATGAGACTCAAATCAAACCCAAGAACAATCTCCTTGAAAACACATTGCTTGTGTTTGGTGGCCAGTGTTACAATGTATGGAATGAAAGGCAACAGGGCTTAAGAACTGTAGGAAATTCAAAGAGCAAAGATACTCACTCTAGTTTTGGCATCAATCTGACCACCTCGATCCAGTAGGAGCTTCACCATGTTGGTGTTTCCCCTTTTAGAAGCCACATGCAGGGGAGTAATTCCATTCTATATCATGGAAAGACCAAACAGAACAAGTTAGATATGGCAGGTATAAGGGTGTGGCTTCCTAGTAAAGAGTACGCAGGGGTTGTGACCTGTGTGACCCATTTTATCTTGGGCTCAATAAGTTTGATCATAAGTAATGAAGAAGCCTATAAACTATGGGATGCTAATTGTAAGAAAATTAAAAGTTAAACAAAAATGTCTGTTAATCAAAAAAATACAGTATTCACGTTGAATGTAATACAAGATAAGAGACAGAAGGAAGACGTCTGTCTGGCAGAAGCTAAGCCTCAAATTCTAATATAGAGCCCAGCGAAATGTCTGTTTATAACACTCATGTACTATAGAGTTTAAGATCTCAAAGTTTCATATGTCTAAAAATGGAAAAAATATACATATTAATATCCAGTGGTGATTATTCTTTAACCCCCCCAGAATACTTCACAGAGAAAAGCAACTGGGAAATAGTACACCATAGTTTCAGAACAAAGAATTTCTTTTCCAAACAGGATTTTCCTACAAAGCTCATACTAGCCTAGAACTTGGCGCATAACATAGGCTAGCCTTAAACTAGAACTCCTTCTGGCGAGCTGCAGAGTCCTAGGATTATATATATCTCACCACACATGGGTTGTACAAAAGAATTCCAGGAATTATAATAGTGCACACAAAACTTTGTCTCATAAGATATCAGGTGTCATCATTATGGCATGGATATGTGTCTGAAATTTTTGTGTGTCACAGTTTTCCAAGAACCTAAAAGACTGCATCAACCAAATCATGTTAAAAAAACATTCCATATGTGAATTTTATACTATCATGTAAATGAATTTTTCTAACAGAAGCAGAATATTATATGCATAATTCCATGTGCTGTCTTCCTCTGTATTTTAGGAAGACATTAGAGTAAATTTTCAATTCATTAAACCAAGAGAAGAAATCCCATCCACTTGTGTGCCCACTTGTTAAGAAACACTCCTTACACAGTTTGTGCTATTTTAACGCTGTTGTCTACTGACTACAAGTTGATCATTCATGGTTTTTTTGCATTATTTTATAATACAGCAGTCAATGTCATGCCAAAGGTAGCCTCCTCAATTACTGACTTATTTTCTATGTGTTTGAGTGTTCTGCTCTCAGAGGCCAAAAGAGGACACTGAGTCCCCTGGAGCTAGAACTGAAGGGGGTAAGCAACTCAGCAAGAGTAGGAGTCAAACTCACACCCTCCATAAAAACCATAAGCTCACCCCCCGATCCATCTCTCCATTTCCCAGAGTCTTGTTTTATTTATTGGGTTATGATATCATCCTGTGATTAAGACAGTGAAAACTATAGAGTCTTTAGGATGGAAGAAGAGTGTTAAATATAAGACCTTAATGGAAGCCATTAACGTTCAAATTTACTTTCTTAAAATACACGTGTTTTACCACGTACCCTGGCTGTGAAGTCCACCGCAGCTCCCCGGTTTAGAAGAAGAGTCGCCACGTTGACGTTTCCATAATGCGCAGCTATGTGCAAAGGGGTGAAGCCGCTCTAGGGGGAAGGAGAAATGGTGAGTAGGCATGGGCCTCACACTGTGGAAAGCGACCACTGACTAACTTACTGGGTAACCGAGTGCCAAGTGCATGAGCAACGCAATTCATGTAACAAATGCTGTAATACAACTCTATAACTTAGTGTTATAAGAGAGAAGTAAGTACCCCACACTGACTGGAAATTTTATTTTTAATTTATGAGGACTAGTTGTCTATTTAAACTACGTGCCTTGAATTTTTTTTAGCTTATTAGAGCAAATCAAAATATGGTGACACCACATAAAGCTTCAAACACAGGATTAACAGTTACTAATGGGTGTTTTCATCCAAACATTTTAAAAGCAGCCTTCTTGTTTTCATCTCCTTTTCTATTTTCATGTGTGGAGGTATGTACAGTTGTGTGTATGTTTGAGGAGGGGTGCTAGGCCTCATCCTCAAGCCCTTCTAGCTTATTCTCTTGTGACAGGGTCTCTCAAAACCTGGAGTAGCTGGAGACCAGTAAGTATGCGCAATCCCATTTCCACCCTTTCAGTAGAAGGGTTATAGACTCGCATGTGGCCACAGCCAGCCTTTTTACATGGGCTCTGGAAACTGGGACTGGGGGTCCTTATGTTTGCACCGCAAATGTGCGTCCCTGCTGAGGCATCTTCCCCACCCCTTGATCTTATTTTGTAAAAGAACACTGGTTAGCATTTTATCTGCAGGACTGTGAAAATTTCTCAGGAAAAATGTCTAGTTCATTCTACAGCAACCACACTGATTTTCTATCCTTTTCACAACTGCTTAGACTGTGACTTACAGTGAAAAAGAACTTAAAAACCAGTATTAAACAACTTTTCCTCCTATTGGCCAGCCTTGTTATGAGGACTTTTGCCTTGTCTTAATGTACGTTGTTTAGTCATGTTGGGTTGTTATCTCTTGAAGGTTGTTGTCAAAAAAGCAAAACTTTTTTGACGGGAAATGGAGCAGAAGTGGGTACAGGAGAGAGGAGAGGTGGGGAAAATTGGGAGGAGTGGAGGGAGGGGAAACTGTAGTCAGAATGTATTGTATGAGAGCAGAATCTACTTTCAATGAAAAGTGCTTGGTATCAGTATGAATATGAAATAAAGAAAATCGTTCAATTGAATATAATTTCAAATATGAACTAAATACAATTTTATCACTAAAATAAAATATGATTAAAATAACCACATTAAGGAAATGATGTGGATATCAGGAAGATATTTTATTTCCCAAACGCTTCAAAAACAAAGTCTGAGAATCAAATGAAGAAATCATTTCTTTTTCTGGTGAAGATGTAGTTAGATATTTTGGCTGTTCTTCACAATAGATGCATATTATCTCTTTCCTTATTGAGGTGCTTAAGGAGCTGATAATTTTCATTATGCTATATAGTTTTCATAACTTAATAAAAATATGGGAAAGCAAACAGCATCAGTTGGCTAGTACCTCCCCTCCACAGTTTACAGGTTATTTCCTATTCTCTTTTACTTATAAATGGATTTCAATGTGTAATCTATTGCTTTAAGAAATACTCTACAAGCCACAACCAGTTTTTATTGACTTTGTGTATAGGATTTGACGATGCTGTTTTCAAAATGCTAGGATAAAAAATTAGATGGCTTAGGTAATTGAAGACTGCTAATGCATTCAGCAACATGAGCTGCAAATAATTTTTAACTGTAGGGAAGCAATATATGGAAATAGGAATAGTAACTGTGAATTCAGTCTCCACAAATGTGACTCTGCATACAGGTGATGTATTCATGCCAAAACTAAGGGGGAGATCAGTATACAACCCGCAATTATTTTATAAAATGTCAAATCTTTTTTCTATTTTCATCTTGATATTTCCTGTCACCCAGACATATTCTGAGTATATGTCTATTACTGTTATAACAGTTTCCTTGGAAACGGAAACATTTCAACCTGCAGGGGAGCTCCTTAGGAGCAGGATTTAAACAACTCAAAAGAGCTTCAGGAAGTCCCTAAACCTGATTAGATCCACTAGGCCCCTCCCTATCAGAGTCAGCAATACAAGCCGAGAGTCCCTCTCAGACACACCAAGCTGCAAAGAAGACTAGCCCAACCGCCTGGAAGACAGAAAAACCAGTTGAGCTGACTGGAAGAGGTATAAACCAGAGTCACTTGTAAAGGACACTGTCCAATCTATTGATCTGCCTGCAGGCTGTGCAATGTGCTCCAGTGTCTCAGGTTTTGTGAGTTGTCACCCATGTTGGGGTAGACTTTGGTGATGCAGCTGCCTTTGAGTCATTTCTGCTCCTGGTAAGTATCTCCGTGGAAGAGAAAAGGAGCCAAACCAATGCCATGACAGGGTCCTGATAGCCCTGCGGGATACCAGGCAGGCCTCAGTTTCGGATTTCCTGGAACTGGACAAGCAGTTCTTAGAAAGATGACAGCTCAGGTGCAACCAAACTGTAAGCACCCCACAACCTTATGCATGCTTCAGATAGCTAAAGATAACGTCTCCTGCCCTGACCACTAAGCCATCCACCAACCGATCCTATAACAATCTGTAAACTTTGTGTTTAAACCCACCAATCAGCACCAAAGACTGGAATCCCCTAATCTTGCTTAAAAAGAGCCTGCCAGCTTCTCTCGGGGTCACCAATTTCCACCCTTACGTGCAGGTATTTTTGTTTTCAAATTAAATGATCTTGTTGGTTGCATACGTGTTTGGTGGTCTTTTGTGGTACTTCTCATGGACACTCACACCCCTTACCCATATTCTTGTAAGTAACCCCAATAAAACTCATTGGTTCACCACGTTGGGCTTTGGTGGTATCTGTACTTTGGTTTGTTGTGGGCTCCTTGTCTGGGGTGAGTAGACATCTGTGCTGCGTCTCCCCAGGAAAAGTTTTGTTATACAACAATTATTCAAGTTACATATTAATTTCAGAAAATTACATTGATGGTTGGAAAACGATTCCCAATTATTCAAGTATAATAATATTTTATCATTAATAATTAATTGTTGTTTTTTCATTGGCCTTAATGATCATAATGCTTCAGGCTATGAGTTGTATAACTCTCTGCTGGTTTACACCCTCCATGAGGAGTACCTAAGAAGTTAAAGTTACTACAATTAGTAATTAAGATCAACTCGTATGATTCCAGTCCTGAACAATTGCACCAAGCAGTTGAGTTGAAGTACACTGACTTCCAAAGTCATGCAAACAAAAAAGCAGCGCAAATAAGGCATCTCAGCAGATGAATGTGTTAATAAAGATTTGAGAAATATGACACTTTCTGTGAGTGTGTATGAATGCTCAAAGATCTACAACTTCTACACAAGTCCCAGCTCGGTGAGGAATAAAAATTATTCTAGAGACTCACCCCACCCAAACAAGTCAACCTTCATAAATAATCATTTGCTCTGAGTATAGATTAATTTTTATAGCATACTTTCAATAATGTTCATGTTGTGACAAAAAGGAGAAAACACATGCACACTAGAGGCTTCTGAATTTAATGTCCTTGTTTACAATGACCTATTTTAGGAGAAGAAAATTATTTAATGGCAAGCATTTTAAGACTTACAGGAAAAAAGCAATTGCTTTCCTCATGATGTGCAGAGTCATTATTGATTATAAACAATGTGGTAAAGAAAAAATGCAGAAAAAGTGCGTCTTCTACTAAATAACAGAGAAACCTCCCGAACTTTTACTTCCATACACTCTAATATGTACATTCTCATTAAGAGGAAAAATTCATACCTCATTGAAAAAGTTTCAGAATAAGGCTCACTCACTAAAACATAAGCAATGGTAGTATTTTATTTCATGTTGGACTTAAACTATTTGAATAGTTGGTTTAATAATATATGCTGTCTTAAATGTATGTCGCATCAAATATATTTGAATTTTCAATCTTTCTTAATTACAGGATTTTTCTCTAAGCAGTTTCCCACTAATAGAACCTTAATCATTAGTATGAATTAGTTGAGCATTTATTTTATCTTGGTAAAAACTAAAAATAAATAAGAATAAAATAAATGTTGGCAAAACAGCAATACTGTACCTCTGTTGTCCTATTCACCATCATCTGAAGCAGTGTTTTGTGGGAAAAAGAGGGAAGATGTTACACAATACAAGATTAAAGAAACAGTAGATCTTCTCGCTGTAACTGAGTATGCTATTCCAACAAGACAGAGTGAGAAAAACCAGCTCCATCCCACAAGTCATTCTTTCCGACTCTCTCTAATTAATGGTGTAAACAGGATGCCTAACTAAATGTCTCAACTTGGAAACTGGTCTTCTAAAGAAATAATTTATCCTTAATTTTTGTCACTGTCTCTCAATGGATACTCCTTTTTCCTTCTGAAATACCCATGGAAATGATTTATGTGTCTTCCTGACCAGAATGCTGCATTTTCAGCAGAGACTGGTCCTTGGTCATCACTCAGGAGAATGCTGCAGTCAGTGGGGACCTCTGCACAGATGCATCAGCTCTTACCTTGGATTGCACATCAGCGTTATGGTCATTTTGAAGCAGGAGGGCGGCAGACTTAGTGTCATCTTTCCGGGCCGCAATGTGCAGAGCTGGCAGCCTCACCTTCCCTTTAGTGTCATTCTCCAAGAGGATGGCCACTGCCTGGTTGTGTCCCTGCTGGAGTGCCACAGCTAGAGGAGTGAAGCCATCCTAGAATATAATTTACATGAGTGGGTGAGACTGACAGCAAGGACAGAAAAATCACTGTGAGGAGCAGAAGCAGAATGGACTCTGTGTTTGCCCTACAGTGCAACAGTTTCATCACATGGCTTTCTTGATTTCCATTCTGCATCCTAACAAGCCTGCTGATTACAGAAGGAGTAGGCCAAATATGTGTTTGAAAGAGGAAAATAAAAATTAGAACTATGCCTTATAATGAAAAGGGAAAAATGGAAATCAAATCTAACTGAAAGTGAAAATATAATAATCTATAGAGAAAAATGCAAGATGGAGTGTTTTTGCATTGTTTCAGGGAAGGTGATAATGGATGTGGATAGAATAATTGATATCCTTTATGTTACAATGATAGAGAGTTAATGTGACCTTAAACTGTTTGGCAAATTATACCAGCCATTAATTTTGCAATTACTTGCATTTTAGATTGCTAAGATCATTTCAGTATAAAGTTGCATATGCTAGATAACATTTAATACACAACTTCTCAATTGCCAACTTGAGAGAGACAGACAGACAGAGAGGGAGAGGGAGATAGGGAGAGGGAGAGAGGGAGAGGGGGAGAGGGAGAGAGAGAGAGCGAGTGAGAGAGAGAGAGAGAGAGAGAGAGAGAGAGAGGGAGAGAAAGAGAGAGAGAGAGAGCTCAATAAACAACAGCACAGACAATGCAAAGTTAGAAAGATCTCCAGAATAAGATAGAAAACCATGCTACAAAACTTGGAAAGTCATCTTTGCATCTTCAGAAGCAAATATTTAGTTCTTGGAAAGATGTCAAGTGTGTCACTCCTTAATTCCCTGAGGTTTCCAAGCAAATGTTAGAAGTCTTGTTCATACAGCAGGAATGAGGGTGGTAGGTTGCACACTTGAAGATTTCATTCCAGGCTTAGGGGTAATTCACCCAAACTTAACTACTCAATTTGTTTTCAATATTAATTGTCTAAGAGATAACTGTGGCCTTTTAAGGGAAAATATTTTCTCAAGTGTCTCATACCATGAATGTAGCATGAACCATGTATGCAGCATGAGCCATGTATGCAACATGAACAGTAGTAATATGTTGACTGCTCTTTTAAATAAGTTTGAATTTTTAATACAGCATACTACTTCATAGAGTGGAGGAGTAGAGTGTATTTTCATTTTTTTTTTTGAGGCAGGGTTTCCCTGTGTAACAATCCTGGCTGTCCGGGAACTCACTTTGTAGATCAGGCTGACCTCAAACTCACTGAGACCTGTCTGCCTCTGCCTCTGCCTCTGCCTCTGCCTCTCTGCCTCTCTGCCTCTCTGCCTCTCTGCCTCTCTGCCTCTCTGCCTCTCTGCCTCTGCCTCTGCCTCTGCCTCTGCCTCTTGAGTGCTGTGATCATGTGTGCACCACCACTGCCTGGCCTAGAGTGCAGTATCTAAAGGTAGAGGACATCAAGCAGCTGCAGTGTATAGGAGTGTCATGAACGGGGTAGTTTGTGAATGAAGGGCACACCCATTATCTTGTGCATAGTTGCATTTATTTTTCCTCACATTCTGCAGCAGTCTGTATTAATGGCATGTGGACTTTGTTTTCATTCTGCTTTGTTTTTTCTTAGAGACAGAGCCTACAGAACAGAACCCCAGTAAAAAGACTGTAGCCATGAATTTTGGCAGAATTCGGGAGGAAGGAAAGGAGAAGAACGCTATAAAAAATGCTGCTGGCCAGACAGGGAACTCCCTTCGGATGACTAAACGCTGGATTCCAACCATGCAGAATTCATTCTCATCTGTATTTTGTGGAAGAAGGCTAAAAATGTGTAACTATTTGTTAAAATACCTCAATGAACTCTATGGAAAAAGAAACAGCTAAGTTCAGCAGATTTGATTTCATCATTTATATACTAATCCTCCTTAAGAAGTATTTTTCTTCATGTGCATACATCTCACTACCATGTGGAAGTATTTTGTAATTACCTGATTTTTTTCTAATATGGGTACAGTACGTGGTGGTAATTAACTTTTACACATTATTGCTACACTAGAGCACAGAAGTGCTCCTTATGTGTATCTCACATACTCTAATGAAACCAAAGAAGATATTTCCTGCAGAGCATTGGAGCATCAGTTATTAATCCCTACAGCAGTATTACTTGTTACAGAGTGATACAGTTAAAAGGGAGTGTGCACAGTTTGTCCATGTGAACCCTGGTAACTATTAGAGTGAGTGGTAGGGTTCAGTATATCAAGTTTATAAGTGGCTTTAGTTATTCAATATTTTTTAAAAAATGAAATGTAAAACATATTCAGGTCTACGCTTCAACTGCCATGCCACTTTGTTTTCTTTGAAAGTGTTGTATTTGGTTAGATAACCAGAGTTCTGCAGGCCACTGTGCATCATGGCATCTGCTGGTGTAGTGATCACTAAGGGCTATTTTTGGAAATACACTGCAATATTGTGATGATCAGCTAGAACAAAGGACTTGCCAATCTGCTGAGAACATCATGAACTAAGTTCAACAAAAAATCCACATTAGACATCTTAAGTCTCCTGGGTGGGTGAAAGAATTCTGATGAGAAGGTTTCCTCTGATTAACGATTCAGCCTTCAAGGAAAAAGAAAACAGATGGGTTCCCTTATGCCGGAATGTTTCTTTGAGATATAGTCTCTTTGTTACGTGAGCATTGCCTTGAGACATTCACACTCTACTCATAGACAAATTTAATTTCTCCAGGGACAAAAAGACCCCATGTTAAAAAAAACAACATATCCATACTGAAAGTGCATAAATTATGTCTGTGTTGCTGAATGCAGAACACAGAAGCACATCATAATGGACAGTTGTGTTTTCTAGTTATAATCAAGGTATATATGACATAACTTACTTATATATGACTTAGCAATGACAGAGAATTCAAAAAGTGATGGTGAGTGATTCCATTAAAAAGTTTTTCTCCCGTTATAGAACTAAAAGTAGATTTAATACATTCAGTAGCATTTCAGTAATACATTCCAGCATGACATGGAAGGAAGTCTGTGTTCACATGGCCTAAAGATTTAACTCTCAGAAGGTTAGCTAGAAGCTGTATTGGACATTAAGAAATATCAAGGTGGCTTCTGAGTACCAGTCGTGTTTTGATGTGGGTCAAGAGATGCGAAATAGAAAGGCATTTCTTCTCCTGAAGAAGGTGTGCTTTGGAAAGTAGGGTGATGACCTAAGTTCCTCTCCCTCTAACTCCTACGCACAGATGTGCTGAACTCTCAGAAACCAATTGGGTTGTTTCTAATATGAAACGTTCTTGTCAGGAGTTGCCATGATCACAGTCACACAATTTTGTAATGATTTGCATTTTGTCATAAATAACGTTGTTGTGACACAGTCCTTAGAAAATTACCCTAATACAAATAGCTATAAATTATTCTGATAGTCAGAAATTTTCCTTCAAGGAAGTGCTTTGGATCGTAAGATAAAATACAGGGGGGGGGGAGCAACAAGGATAACATTATTCTAACTTAATCTTTGACTGCTATAAATCCAAAAATCAAGTCAGGCCACATTGACAGAAGTGTGATCTCATAGTGTGGATTCCTATAACCCCAGAAGAACTGCAAATTTAGGGCTGACTCAGGTTCCACCAACACCAAAAGACCCAAGCTTAATGGTGATGGAAGTAAGAATGCATGATCATTAATCTAAAATGAAGTTATAAGCTCATGATGACATGCACAAGCCCAAGTCACTCACTGGCCATTGCAGTGGATTATAATAGTAATATGAACATTCCCAGCATGCTTTAGACAAAACAGTGGAGAGCGTTTACAACTGGTATAATCAAACTGGATCTTAAAACAAAAGAACCAGAAACTAAGACTCACCTCTGTAGCAGTGCTCTGATTAGCTCCATTTTCTAGCAAATATTTTACAACATCAATGTGATTCTCCTGGGCAGCCATATACAAAGGAGTGAAGCCATTCTGAGGACAGACAACAAAAACAGAAATCTCAATCATTTGTAAAGTTTCAGCAAAACCAAAGTTACATCATAAGGAGAGAATTCACACACTCTATGAAATAATGCCCATGAAATAGATTTTGTATTTATCAATTCATAAATGGAGAAAACAATGTGAACTATTCAAACCGCTTAAGACATTTAAAGCATGAACACTATAGAACATATTTTATAACATTCTCTTTATACATCATATAATAGTATCTGTGTAATATCTTCTCTATCAATCCCCAAATCATTTAAACAGACTACCATTGCCTTGAATGTACATGCTTACTTAGCATTTTTGGTGCTACCAGTTAGTATTCACAAGACATCATGCTAGAAGAGGTTATGAACCCGACTGAAGATGAGAAAGTCTGTACTTATGATTATGATAGAATTGCTTATACTGAACACTTGCACATTAATTTTAAAGCCACTCTGAAATTTTATCATTCATTTGCTCAATTATTTACTGAAGTGCAGCCACCAATAGTTGAACCATCCCTAGGATATAGTGATAAATAGGATAAACACATGTGTCCTCGTGGAATACATACCATAATAATATTCATTATTATGTACTTATCTAAAAAACTCAACAGAAATATTACACCATGAGTTTAAAACTAAGTTTGTTACATCTTTTTATTTCTGTATGATTAAGAATATACCAACCTTGTTGAGGGAGAAAAATACATTTTTTAAAAGCTTGACTCAAATCCTCAAAACAATTGGGCAACTCTTATGTCAGATTATTAAACATGGATGTTTACACTTCCCCTATATTAATGAGAATGAGTAAAAGTGAGATGAACACTTGGAGATTATTAACCACCCCCAGAAAGTAGCAAAAAATGGGTTTTAAATTACTTGTTGAAATGAAATTATTTTGCATGCATTGTAATAGTGAAAACATTATTCAAAGTGACCAATAACCAGCAAAATATAAATATAAATTTTATAAATACAATAAGTAAAGAAATTTAAATTTTGTTTATGGAATAAAATATACAGGGTCCAAGTGGTGAAAATAGTTTTTAATCTAAAATAGAAATTATCTAAGAAGAATAAATCAACAACAGTGTTATGATTTGTGAATAACTACTGCTAGCTGGAGAGTGTAATTTCCAAGGCTTATCAAGCAGGTGAAATATGTTGTATTTTAAGAACACTGAAGGGGTGGCGGAAGGATGGAATTAGAGATTTGAAGGAAGGGAAAGCCAACGAAGTCTGTTCAAAACAATGAGTGGGTGTGAAATGAAGATCTTTTGAGACAAATAAGAGGTAGTGATGCAGTAAGAGAAAAGGAGCTTTAACAGAGCACAGACACTCCTAATGGGTTTCCTCTAACAAAATTCTGTAGGTAGATAAAGAGAAAATGAAACAGCTTCGAAGAAGTCATGACCATGCTTAGACCTTCACCAATAAGAGAATAACCCCTGGGTCAGAGGGACTTTTCCTTGGTGAACTATTTGAACTATTCAATCTAACTAAGATAGGTAAATATTAACGCTATAGAATATAATTCCAAGACATATAAATTCTCATATATATATGTATATATATATTGACCTACATAAAACAGTATCTGTGTAATGTCTTTTGCATTTATCAGTTCACAGATCATTTCAGCAGACCCCCATTGTCCTGATGCATACAATTTACACAGCATTCTCAGTACTTCAGATTATTAGCTCTAACATATTAGGCTAGGAGGGACCATACACCTGAGTGAAAACAAAAAGTTTCAGTAGAACCAGGAGCCCCATGTCTCCTTCACGTCCAAACTATGGTGCAGATGACCTGACCACAAGACTCTACCTAGTGTTCCCAAGTACAGTGCCAGTCCTTGCTCGGACTCTATGGTTGTCTATTGTGGAATATTCCTTTACACTCTGTGAATATGTGTCACTGTAGTTGGTTTAATAGAGACCATTTAGTGGCCATTAGCTAGGCAGGAAGAAGTACAGGTGAGGACTTGTGGACAGAGAGAGCTCTGGGAAAAAGAAAGGCAAAGGTGCCAGTAAGACACAGAATAACCAGGATGGGCACAATGGAGATGAGATAACAAGCATATGGAAGAACATAGATTAAAAATCATGGGTTAATCTAGGTTGTAAGAGTTGTCTAGAAGCAAGCGTAAGCTAAGGCAGAGCTTTCTTAAGTAATGTAAGTCTCTTGTTATTGTTTGTGAGCTGGCAGCCCAAAGAAAAGTCCGACTACAGTTGTCCTCTCAGACATCCTTTGGCCAGCAGAGTAATGGTCTTACATATATCCACATCTTTCTGTAGTATTTATTTCTTGCTGACAAAATACATGACATAATAAGAGAGAAATGTCTGTTAGGGTTCAGGGTTTGGGGGGAATTTCATCCAACCATGATGGGAAAAACATGGAAGCAGGAGCAGTCACATCCAAGGCAGTGGGAGCATGAGGTATTGGGTGTTGACATGCTTGTGGACCAGGAAGGGGAGAGAAAGCCGGTCCAGAACCAGGGGCAGGGATAACTTCAAAGACCTGCTACTAGCACTCGACTTATTTCACATAATGGTACTTCCCAAGGACTCTGTAAAAGAGTGTCACAACAGAGCACCAAGTGTTCAAAATATAGCCCTTTGGGGAACACGGCAGATTGAAACCATGACGTCATTCTAATCATTGGAATCTGTAAATTGTACAGAATAGGAATAGAATAAATGAATAGGAAACTGTTCATCTTCACTCAAAGATTGCTTAACACAGCATTCCTGGTCTCCTCATATATACGTAAAAATGCTATTAAATATATCATGTTTCTATGATTTTTTTAAAAAGGGTTTAAATGGAAACCATTAGGAAAACATATATAATTTCTCATTGCTGACATAAAAATGTTTTGGCTTGAACCTGGAAGCAACCTAGATGCCCCTCAACTGATGAATGGATAAAGAAAATGTGGTACATAGAGTACTGGTCAGTGGTGAAAAAAATGGCATTGAAATTCTCAGGCAAATAGATGGAACCAGAAGAAATCATCCTGAGTGGGGTCACCCAGACACAGAAAGACAAATATAGCATGTACTCACTCATAAGTAGATACTAGACATAAAGCAAAGGATAACCTACCTATAGTCCACAGCCCCAGAGAAGCTAGGAAACAAGGAGGACCCTAAGAAAGACATACATGAACCCCAGAGAAGGGGAAAGGGACAAGATCTCCTAAGTAAATTGGGAGCATGGGGGCATGGAGGAGAGAGGTAGGAGAAAGAGAAGGGAAGAGGGGGGAGAAGAACAAGAGGGATCAGGAAGGTGGAGTTGGAGGAAGATCAGAGAGGAAGAGCAAGAAAAGTGATACCTTTGTAAAGGGAGCCTTTATAGGCTTAACAAGAAAACCTACTAGGGAATTTCCTAGGAATCAACTGAGAATTTAAGCAATAGTAAAGAAGCTACCTTAAATGCCCTTCCCCTCTAATGAGATTAATGACTACCTTAAATGCCATCATAGAGCCTTCATCCAGTATATGATGGAAGCAAAGCACTGGGCCAAACTCCTGGAATCCAGGTGTAGAGAGGGAGGAGTGATGAGCAAAGGGGTCAAGAAACCCACAGAAACAACTGACATGAGCAAGTTGGAGCTCATGAACTCCAGACTAACAGCTTGGGAATCTGCATAAGACTAAACCAGGCACCCTGAACATTGGTGTCAGTTGGGGGAGCTTGGGCAGTTTATGGGGCCACTGACAGTGGAACCAGTATTTATCCCTAGTACATGACTGGCTTTTTGGAGCCAATTCCTCATGGAAGGATACTCTTTTAGCCTAGATACAGGGGGGAGGACCTCGGTCCTGCCCCAGATGATGTGACAGACTTCGATGATTCCCCCATAGGAGGACTCACCCTCTCTGAGGAATGGATGGGGGAGTGGAGAGATGCTGTGGAGAGTGGGAGGGCAAAAGGGAGAGGGAACTGGGATGGGTATCTTTTTACAATAATAATTAAAGTAATTTTAAAAATGAAATAAAAACTTATCAACTGGAAATAAAAGGTTTTGGCTTATCCTAGGTGCAAGTAAGGAGAGTAGTATACAGTAGTTCCGGAATCATATCCCTAGACTACAAATGGTTTCAACCATATTATTTACTAATCATTCTTCGTGCTTCTCAGATTATTTACAACTCTCTTTCAGACCCAGAAATCATGCTCAACTTTGGAGAATTCAACATCAAATTTAACTCTCATCTATAAGCTGTATCTTATACTATAAAAAAGCTTCACAAAGCGATGGGCAGATGGTTCAATGGGTAAAATGCTTGCTGTGTGAGCATGAGGACCTGAGTTCCGATCCCTGGCAGTGATGTAAATGTGGGACCCACCTGTGTGCTTCTGCTTATTAAATACTAAGAACAGTACCTCTGTCTACAGGAAAATATCAATTTTTGTCATTCATTTATATTTATTTAGCCAAAGCAAAAATGTGTTTGGTAGCTATTTACTGTTTAACATTGCACTTAGATCATGACTATGAAGCAAACACAAAAACTCTCTTCCACATCCAGCACAGACAGGTTAGTAAAGAGAGACTAAAGAACAGACTAACATGCACACATTTACAGAAGAGCTACAATTGGCTGGTTCTTCTTGTTCTGTTGGAGCAGCACCAACTATACCAGCAACCCAGAATCTCAGTTGGTTTTTGATGTACGCTCAATATCCACACATAGACCAGAGGGAGATTTTGCCTACTCCCTCATCCTGGCCTGAGGAAGGCTTTACCAACTCCCATAGGTCTAAGTCATAGGACAGGCCTTGATAATGATATACATTCACTGGGAATTCACCTACTCCTTACACCTTCACTCAAGGCTTCCTCTGTTCTCCACACTTCTTTCCATAGGAACACCCAGTCCAAAGCTCGGATAACCAAGCTTGAACTACTATAGACAGACTGGGGTATATATCTAACTACTCTCTATTTATTGCATGTTATATAAGGAGAAC